TTTTTTTTTTTTTTTTTTGGGTGCATGTATGGGGGCAGTACTGGGGTTTGAACTCAGGCTTAACATTTGCTAGGCAGACACTCTACACATTAGCCATGCCTCCAGCCCCTCCCTGCTTTATTAACTAAAAAAATTTTTTAAAGGACATTAGGAAACCAGTTGTGGTGTTGCACACCTATCATCCCAGTTTTGGGAAGGCTAAAGCAAGAAGATCATGAGTTCGAGGCCATCCTGGGATACACTGTGAATTCAGAACAGCCTGGGAAACATAGCAAGACCCTATCTCAAGAATAAACCCCAAAGGAGGGGGCGGGGTGCATTGAGCAAAGCAGTTAGTTGTGTTAATTTGCTAGGACTAAAACCATAACCTACCTACAAGGATTTTTTGAGAAATAACTATAGAGGTCTTGAATTTACTCTCTGGATCTTTTCAGCTTGCCAGATTGTCCTTTTAGGCTTAAAAAAAAAAAAGTCACCTGGGCTAGAATAGCAAGCACAGATGTTTCCACACTGACCAAATGAGGCGTGCTTGTGTATTTGTGAATCCTTCGGGAGTGCTGCTGTTTTCTTTCAGAAAGAATCCTCAAGACCTGAAGGACTTGGTGGTGTGTTTTCATCCCTTCCAGGGCCCAGGAAATAATGACCTATATCATTTAAGAAACAAAAATAAAATGATCTCTTGGAGAGAGCCAAGAATTGGGAATCTGAAAAGTATGTTTCTGAGAGTCAGATTCTGTTTAAACTGACCTAACTTTGTAATTCTAGAACTGTACTTATCTTTTAATTAACATTTTTAGAAGTCTTTTTCTTTGTGTTTTTTTCCCCTGGCATATTTTAAAGATTTGGTGTTTCACTATAAGTACTTCCTTATTGGCCATTTGTTTAACTTCTGTAGGCCCCTCTACTTAAAGGGAGAAAATATTGGCTGCTCCATTGTTTCACAAACAGAAAAAAAATGGAAATATTTTTAATATAGGAGTGCTACCAAAATGAAATGTAATATTGGTCCTATATTAGTGCAATGTGTCATCTCTAAAATAAAAATCACAATTTGTCATCAAATGGACTCACTAAAAATAATCAGTGAGTGATCAGTGTATTGTATATAAATACCTCAGTTTGATTTAATTCTGAAATGGTCTCCAGAGTTGTGTGCATTTCTTTAAAGGAGGGTTCTGTTTAAGTGAGTTAGAAATAAGTACTTGGAGCGTGGTATGGTGTAAACCTATAATCCCAGTACTTGGGAGGTAGATGCAGGAGGATCTTGAATTCAAAGCCAGCTTGGGCTACATGGCAAGAGATCCTATACCAAGAAATAAAACAAAATGAACAAAGGAAAAAACATAAGTATCTAGGAAAAATGCAGTGTTCAGCTAATTGACATGATTATTTTACCTTCTTGTTCAAGTCCCTGAAAACCATTCTCTTTTCTCCCCCTCAAATAGAGCCTGGTCTTTCAACATCAGATATTCTGTCTTGGATTAAACAAGAAGAAGAACCTCAGGTTGGGGCCCCACAGGAGTCCAGGGAGAGTGACATGTACAAAGGCACCTATGCTGGTAAGTAACAGATGGAAGGGATGCTCATATCCAGATCCAGCTCATGCCAAGAGTAACTGAAGAAAATGCAGCTGAAATGTAGCTGTAGGAGCAAGGAAGTGGGAGGACAAAAGAAAGATGTGGTTAATTGAGTTAAAAATGAAATCAAAAGACCATTGAGATAAATTTTAACTGAGCAAATAGAGTACTTTAGTGCAAAAACAAATTAGATTATTAAGTTGGGTGTTGTATCGCACGTCTATAATCCCAGCTACTACTAGGCAGATAGAAGCAGAAAGATTGTGAGTTCAAGGCTAGCTCAGGGAAAATTAGTGAGACCCTATCTCAAATACTGGGGTGGCTCAAATGGTAGAGCACTCGCCAGTCATGCTGGAGATCCTGGATTCAATCCCAGTTTTGCAGTATTGCAAAAAAATAAAAATAAATACATAAAAATTGGTGGGGTTGGGTATATATAACTCAGCGGTGAAGCTTGTGCCTAGCATGCACAAAATCCTGGGTTCAATCCCCAGCGCCATATTAAAAAACAAAAAGAAAAAGAACTGTCAGAGGAAGAAAAATAGTGCATATAGATGGACCAAAAGAATGAGGATGAGGAAAAACAATATTTGAACATAAATGAGGAGTAATAGGGAGATAGGCAATGGAGACAAAAGCACTGGAGAGATACAAAAGCGAAAGTTAATTCTGAACCCTCTGCCAGTGAAGGGAAAAACAGAGATGGGAGAAGAAACAGCTTTTCTCTGAGGCATTTAGCACCATCTGTGTTTTGCCATTTGAATTTAAAAGAGAATCTCAAGGTAACAATTGATGCCTTCTGAGCGAGGGGCTTGGCTCAAGTGGTAGAGTGCCTACCCAACCTGCAGTTCAAACCCCAGTACCACAAAACAAACAAAAATACAATTGTGTTCCTTTAGACTCTGAGAAGTACAAATGAAAAAGAAATAAGGGCTGGGGGTATGGCTCAAGTGGTAGAATGCCTGCCTAGCAATTGTGAGGCCCTGAGTTTTTGGCCCGTATTGCCAAAAGTCTCAAAACCAAACAAACGGTATCTTCAAGAAACTTAGACTTAAGGATACACTATCAAGCTAGCATGCCTGTTGTAAAGTGCCAAGGGTGAGTAGAATGGATGACGTATGAAAGAAATGATACGTGTGCAGACCATTCATCAGTTTTAATTGAGGTATTTAGAAAAGGCGTAAGGAAGGATAGGATGCTGCCAATAGTCTTAGAAGACTGACTGGTTTGATATGGCTGGATATAATTTGGGAAGATGGGAAGAAAGGAGAAGCATTCTTCAAAAGGGAGGACAGAATGAGCAAAGATGCAGAAGTGGAAATGCTCTCTATAGTGAAGAATTTATCTGGCAAAACAGAGAGGAAAAGGAGTAGATAAATAGGTGATTTTAGATTCTACCACACACAACAGGCAACAGAGAAAGTTCTCGAGCAGAGGTGAAGCATAATGAAAGTAATGTGGAAGAGATTGGTGCAGAGGTTTTCCTTTTCCAAGCAGGGAGCATGGCAACCTTGACCAACCTGTTAAGGCTGGATCAGAGGGGTTGGTAAGACAGCTGTAACTTTTTTTGGTATTACTAGGGTTTGAATCAGGGCCTCACATTTCCTAGGCAGGCACTCTACCACATGAGCCACTCCACCAGCCCTGTTTTGTGTTGGGTATTTTGGAGACAGGGTCTTGTGACATATTTGCCCTGGCTGGCTTCCAACCACTTTTCCTGATCTCTGCCTCCTGAGTAGCTAGGATTACAAGTGTGAATCACTGGCGCCCAGAGACAGATGTAACTTTTAAGTCCTTTCTTTCAGATGAAGAGCTTGTCATCAAAGCCGAAGGCCTTACTAGAACCTCCTTATGCCCTGAGGCACCCGTTGCCTTCTCTGCTCCACCACCAGCAGCTGCAAAAGATGCTTTTTCAGACGTGGCTTTCAAAAGTCATCAGTCTGTACCCATGACTCCTTTTGGACGTGCAGCCACTGACCTGCCTGAAGCCTCAGAGGGACAAATGACCTTTACTCAGTTGGGTAGCTACCCCCTCCCACCTCCAGTCGGGGAGCAAGTGTTCTCATGCCACCATTGTGGTAAGAGTCTCAGCCAAGACATGTTGCTGACGCACCAATGTAGTCACGCTGGTGAGCACCCCTTAGCCTGTACCCAGTGCCCCAAGCACTTTCCCCTGCAGTCTGACCTCAGCAGCACTTCCCAGAACCATGCTAGTGAAACACCCCCCACCTGTCCACACTGTGCCCGGACCTTCACCCACCCCTCCAGACTCACCTACCACCTTCGGGTCCACAGCAGCACCGAGCGCCCTTTCCCCTGTCCTGATTGCCCCAAGCGCTTTGCAGATCAGGCGCGACTCACCAGCCACCGGCGAGCTCATGCCAGTGAGAGGCCCTTCCGCTGTGCACAGTGTGGCCGAAGCTTCAGCCTGAAGATCAGCCTCCTGCTGCATCAGCGGGGACACGTCCAGGAACGCCCCTTTTCCTGCCCTCAGTGCGGCATTGACTTCAACGGCCACTCAGCCCTGATCCGCCATCAGATGATCCACACGGGTGAGCGCCCCTATCCGTGCACGGACTGCAGCAAGAGCTTCATGCGCAAGGAGCACCTGCTGAACCATCGGCGACTGCACACTGGCGAGCGACCCTTCCAGTGCTCGCACTGCGGCAAGAGCTTCATCCGGAAGCACCACCTCATGAAGCACCAGCGCATCCACACTGGCGAGAGGCCCTACCCCTGCGCGCTTTGTGGCAGAAGCTTCCGCTATAAGCAGACGCTCAAGGACCACCTGCGGACAGGCCACAGCGGAGGCTGTGCAGGTGATAGTGACCCCTCCGCACAGCCATCGGCCCCACCTGGTCCACTCTTAACTGTGCTTGAAACCGCTGGTCTAGGTGTTACCATAGAAGGTCTAGAGACCAATCAGTGGTATGGGGAAGGGAGTGGAGGGGCAGTTTTGTAAATCTGTGGCCTCATTGTTATTTGTGTTCAAAGCAGGGCAGAAAGTCCAGGAGAAAGTCCACGAGCCTCCACTGTCCACAGTAATTATCTGGCACATCAAGAAAGTTGTGGTTCTCAATCCTCAACTGGAGACATGCTTTGTTTTGAAACTTCATGGATAGTACAAGAATACTATATTTTGAAATCCAGAAAGGCCTGTAGAGGAGTCCAGCATCCTTATCTTTTCAAAAATACCACAAAAGCAGAAGTTATAAGTACTGCAGAGAGGTTGGGAAGCAATAGTTGTCCTCCCATTATCCTGTCATGGGATAGAAGAGAGTAGATCATGTGTCTGGGAAAAGAAAGATGTGTGAGAAGAACCCCTAAAGCTTGAAGCCCATTGTGAGGCATGAGAATGTTCAAAACCTTTTGCTAATTCTTTGATAGGTGAGGTGATTGTTGGTAGAATGTACTTTAGCTGCTCTTGCTGTTGCATTCTTGACACCAGCTAAGCTCTGTTCATACCTTCGTAGTCACCTTTCCCTGAAACATGATGACTCAGACTGCCTTCCTAGATCACCTAGATTGAATCTGCTAATACATTTTGTTTAATATTGAGTGAAAAAGAAATCTGACTTTAATAGTTTATTTATGGGAACAGTTCTTAGCTTATACTGGCTTAATTTGAAGCATTCAGACTCATACTGGCATTTAATCTGCCAGAAACCTTTGCCAAGGTCCTGGTTAAAAAATTGGGAGCAGAGTTCTCAGTCCAACTTTAAAAAGTTAGAGATCCCAGAGAAATATCTGGCACAACAGTGACAGAACAGCCTAAAGTCTGTGCCCAAGCCATGTTTTTGGAGTCACTTATGTTAAATATCCCTTAGATTTTCCAAGCCAGTAAGCTGGCTTTTCCATTCCTGGTGTCTGATTTTCTTTAGTCATTAGCAGCAAAACTCACAGCACTTTCTAGAAGCATTAAGAAGTTTTAGAAAGTGCCACTGAGCTCTGGGCTTTCATTTTCTCAGCAATGCAATAGCAGTATTGCAGTGTGTAACTCTTGAGTCATTAAAAAAGGTGTCTGCTCCCCCCACCTGTCCCTACCCCCCTGGCAGTAGGCAGACAGAGGCAACTTCTAAACCACTGAGAGCTACGCATCATATGTAGACAAGAACTGCCTGTCTTGCCTGTGGTGCTTTTATGGAGCTGGCCTACCATGTGTCTTTTTTTTGGGGGGCGGGAGGACTCATTCAATCACCTGGGAGCATCTGAGCCTGGTTCTGTTCATAAATGTCTTTGCAACTGGTGTAAATTCTTTTCCCTTATGGCTCTCAAATTTTTATCTGTAAGATGAAGCTGTTGAAAGGGAAAAAGTGAACCTCTAGAAATTAAAAATAGAGCAAAAAAAAGAAAAGAAAAAATCTTGTGGTATATTACTTCTGTGCCAAAATCCTGTCTCTTATCTTTGGCTTCTGTCCAGGTGAAGCCAAATGAGGCAGTAAAATCAAAGCAGAAAAGTTCTTGTAGAAACTGGATTGAAATCAATTTGATTTGTTTGTTCTTACTTAGAGCCTGAAGTAGAAGACAGAATGCAGAATCCCTATATCTTGGGCAGAAAAGTTGTTTATTCCTACACTCTTTTGTTTGTCATCTACAATGCCTGGAACAAGGTCTGGGACTATTTAGACACAACATTTTCTTGATAAGTGGTAAGGAAGGGACCCATTTTCTCCTTATCATTGAGCCCAGCCTTCATTCTGACTAGTTATTTATAAACATGCTAGGAAAGGATGTTAGCCCAGTTACCTGTACTCCTGGAAAGGTTCTGTTGTATTATTTGCAGTTCTTTCTCTCTCTCTCTCTCTGTCTTTTTTTAATTTGGTAGTACTGGAGTTTGAACTCAGGGCCTTATGCTTTTCAGGCAAGCACTCTTCCACTTGAGTCACATTTCCAGTTTGTTTTGCTTTAGTTATTTTTTGAATAGGGTCTTCATGTTTTTGCCCTGGGCTGACCTTTGCCTCCTGTATAGCTTGGATTGCAGGTGTATACCACCATGACAGGCTTATTTGTTGACATATGGTCTCACTAACTTTTTGCCTGACTGGCCACAAATCATAATCCTCCCAATCTCTGCCTCCTAAGTAACTGGGATTACAGGCATAAGCCTCCACATCTGGTAAGATAATCACATTTATAAAACACTACTTTGTGATATACACAATACCAAGGACCATGGGTGACATAAGAAATGTGTATAAGACTTGGCCTGCTGTCTTAATTTTCAGTCTATAGGCAATGAAAAAGCCCAAGGGAATAGATAGGCAGATGATAGGCAGATTCCTGGTGTATTGGGACAAAGAGCTTTCTAGCAGAATCTGACCCACCCATGGGTAAACGTGGGAGTTCTGGGAATTCCAAAGCCAGTGTTCTGGCTTCACTGGATCTAGTAGGAACTTGAGTGTGAGGTTCAAGTCTGGTTTGCATCTGGACCACCCAATGTAAAGAAAAGAGTCAAAGCACTATCTTCATGTACTGAGCTCTTTTCTGGATAGATTGGTGCATCTGCCATTGTGCACTGGAGAAGGGATTTCAATCCCAGGTGAGATGTGACATGTGGGACTAGATAGTGCCCAAAATTCATTTTAACTCAAAAATTTTATCCAGGACACAGAGATTAGTAAATTAGTAATGAAAAAGAACTGTGTACTCCAGTTCTGCATATGGCTGTCATTGCTCCTTCTAAGGAACTGTATCCAGGAGGGATCTCAACTTGGTAAAAAGTGAACATAGTTCCAATACCAGCCAAGCCAGAGCCATAAAGCTGGATGGAAGGGAATGTGCAGGGCCATTGTGGATCCTAACCCTTAGCCTGGGTACAAGCAGGTGCTCAACTATTGTGCAGTGCATTCTCCTTTCCCTCCATCAGTCCCTACCAGGTAGAGCCCAGGCCACCTCTGTGAAAGATTAAAAAATGGATCATTGGAAAAGGTAAGGTAAAGTCCAAGAGAAAGTTTTCAGCATGTGGAGGAGGAACCCTTGGTCCATCAAGTACTCCTGAAAGAAACCATGCATTTAACCCTGCAGTTAAAGAAACACCTGGGGCCTGGTTGTCATGACCAGATGACACGGGGAAGAGGAAACCCCAGAAGTGTGTGCCTCACCTGTCTGCCCTCTGGACTTTTACACATAAATTCTATCTCCATTAGAGTGGGTCTGGGTGTTGACTCTAACCAGATTCACTATTTGCTTACTAGATTTTTCATTGTCACCATTGAATGAACTTTTGGTTCAGCCACAGATATGAAAATAAATGAAATTGGTTGATTAGAAAGTAAAAGATAACTTTGATCCTCTGCTACTGAACATTTGGTAGTAGAAACACCTTAGCTGGATTCTAGTTGGAACTGGGTTCTATATAACTTCCCTCATATTAATAATCAGGTTTGCAAAGTTCCTGGGAGTGGCTCCCCTGGGCTTCTCTTGAGAGACATGTCTGGGCTCGAGGTGTGGCTCAAGAGGTAGAGTGTCTGCCTAGCAATTGCAAAGTGCTGAGTTCAAACCCCATTCCTGCTGAAAACAGAAACGAGAGGCATGGGTAGCTATGTCTATTTTGACCAAACCCTGTGTCTTATTAGGTGACAAAAAATGCTCACTGTCTCAGTCCCCCAAAAGCCTTGTTGATTAAAAAAAAAATCTTTAAAATCCCAAATTTGTCAGTCTTCCTCTGAGGAGAGGCAGGACATTTCTCTCTTCCCATGCCTTAGATTTTTAGACAACAAAACACCCGCAGTTGCATGAGGGCTGCATACTAGGAAGTCTTTCCCAAAAATACTCTTAGAACTGAGGATCTCTGACATATAAATCTTTTCCTGAGTGATTAATGGATACTTCTGGCCCTGTTCGATTCACTTTGGTTGTTGTTTGTAGCAAGGGAACAGTTACTTCTCACACACTGTACACATTTGTTTTGGCAAGTTTCAGACTCCTATACACAGATAGTCAAAGATTAGATTGGTGGGAGGATGAGGTAGGGCAGGGGTGCACAGGACCTTAACATAAGGGTGGTCATGAAGGCTATATAGTATTAATGACTAAGAGCAAGGACTCTGGAGTCAGACCTAGATTCAAGTCCTAACATCATAAGGAATGTAACAGATCTATTATTTAGCCATCTTGAACCTTAATTTCCTTATCTAAGGTAGGGATAATGATACCTGTGTCCCACAGGTATTAGGGCTTAAGAGGAGACCAACGTAAAGTGTTTGGTACGTGGCCCATGACACAAAGAAAGGAGTGGTTTTACAAGACCAATTGGAGAGGAGGTCATGAAGCCAGGTTGAATGGGGATGGCAAGTGTCAAGAATCGAGGCTGCTCAGCAGAAACACGATTGCTGGATGTCTGAGTTTTTCGTATGCCATCTTCTTTTGCTCCTGTTTAGCCTCATCTTTTATGTTTTTCTGCACCTCCAAGCTCCCATAAGTTTCTGTGTGCCATGACCCCACTTGGCTCTGACTCTTGGTTTTACTTATTTCAGAGTCTATAGTGGAGAACCTGGCCTACCTCCTCTTTCTATGCCAAATCCCAGAAGTTTTCAGCCAATCCTTGGGGTTACATGCTTATCCTGGTTCAAGCTGGAATCAATAGTAAAAGTTTTATGGTCCCTGCACCAGCGTCTGTGGATTTGGTAGACTCATTTAGAGATGGGCAGATAGTAACATAGTGTGACATTTCAGTACTATCAGGGTAGAAAGAATACTTAACCTCTATCAGGGTTCCTTCAAAGACTCTGCTTCATAAGCAGCATCACAGGCCAGAGTAGATTGTCCTTGAACAAAAAACCTGGAAGGTGTGCTTTATCTTGCAAAAGGAGTCATTTGTCACTAGGAGTCAAGGGATGGTGTTATTCATCCCGTTCTGACCCTGCTCCAGTTTCTTTTTAAATGAGTAACTGACCACAATCAAACACACACAGGTGGCTTTACCAACTTGGTCAATTAAATTTGCCTCCCCATCACTCCTAAGACAAAGAAGGCAGAACTATACAGCCCAATCAGAGCAGCCTCAAAAACTATGCTGCAAAGCTGTCCAAGATATCCATTACATTTTGAATAAAGGATGTGACAAAACCTCAGTGATGTGGCTCTGTGTTTATTAGCAAAGCCAGTATTTACTGTAAAACCTTGTTACTGACCTAAAAATTAAGATACCTAGGCACAGATGCTGTATCTTATTTTGGGTCCCTCATGGAGTTAGGCTTGTAGATGCTCAATAATTGTATTGTGGGAAGACCACCAGAATAGGAATTAAAAACTGAATTCTTGTCCTAGTTTAGCATTCTCAAATTGATATGGGGCAGATAATTTATAAAGATCTAATTTTCCTAATTCTAGTGTGAAGATTGAGCAAGATGGTAATATGTGGTCCCTTCCACTTAAAATTACAGAATTTAAGGTTTTACTTCTGGGTCTTCTTTCCTTGGCTTGATTCCGCCTAGGTTTTGCCCTATTGAGTAATTACATCAACACAGCAAAAAAAACACTTTGCATTACTACAAAATAAAGTATCTCATTATAGTCATTCCAAAGCCACACAAACTGACAAATTTCTAGCAAAGTATAAAGTTTTGTTTTAAATTCTTATGAAGTAGACATTTAACTGCATTTTTTTTTCTTTTATTATTCATATGTGCATACAAGGCTTGGTTCATTTCTCCCCCCCTGCCCCCACCTCCTCCCATTTTTTTTTTTCAGTATTGGGGCTTGAACTCAGGGCCTTCAACTTGAGCCACTCCACCAGTCAGTCCTATTTTTGTGAAAGGGTTTTCGAGATAGGGTCTCACGGAATATTTGCCCAGGCTGGCTTTGAACCGCAATCCTCCTGATCTCTGCCTCCTGAGTAGCTAGGATTACAGGTGTGAGCCACCGGCACTCTGCTTAACTGCATTTTTAAAGCACAGGAAAATAAAAGGAAAACTCCAATATAATGTTTGTGTTAGGGTTGTTTGGTGATTGTTTTTCCCTACAAGTTTGGTGTAATATAAAGCATTTGTGTAAAGCATTTTTCATGCTTTTGTAAGAATGAGCATTATCCTAATGAAAAAGGGCCTGGGAAGGAAGTCAGGAGGCCAGAGTTTTAATCTTGTTTTTAATATCCTCACTTGTTGTGAGGATAATAACCTAGTTTACAAAGGTGCCAGGGTAAATGAGGAAAGGTTAAAAAGTGCTTCGAAACATATTTTGCAGGTTTAAGAAGAAAGTGTTGATACAGTAAGTGTAGGAGAATTGTTGACAAGTCAACTTCCTGGGTGATGTTATACTTTTCTACATTTAAGACTGTACAGTCATCATTTCCTCATTTCCATCTTACTTTCCTGTGCTGGGAAGAAGCTAGCATGAGACTATAATTTGGGGAGCAGCAGGAGAAGCATTTACTGTGCATATGCAGATTAAAAACAAAGTTTAATATAGGAAATACCAGATTTGCCTGTATAATGTGTTGACTTCTACGACGAATATTGTAAGAAAACCAGTTTTATGTATATAAAGAATTATGATAGATCAGGAAAGCTGTATTCCAGGAGAGATTGGATTAAACATGCAGAATTCAAAATTAAGAATGTACATGAATCTGTGTACATCAATCATTCTTGGTCTTCAGTTTATCATTTAAAAAAAAAGTGTCAGAAAGACAATATCTACTAGCCAACCTCAACAAATACACAACAGGATAAAAATGAACAAGAATAAGTAAACCAATCATATTTATGTTATTGGCCACTAAGAAATAATTTAGGATTTTTTACTTCCCAGGTGATGGTGTGGTGCTATGACCCGGAGATGAGCAAGGACTGTTTTACTAGCTTGTTCTTTGCTGAACATGAGAATGACCCTGGGGTGGGGGTTAGGAGCTATCCATGCCATAGCCCACTCTGGGATGTTTTCATTGCTGTGTGATGGAGCTTGAGTGTTTTGTTTTTCCAAATTCCCCCCAAGTAATTCTAATGTGCCTGTGTGATTTAGAAGATCATGAAAGAGAAAATGAGTTACTGAACTGGAAATGGCCAATTAGCCTGCTTTACTGGAACAGGTTGTTGTGGATTGGAGACTAATAAAAGGTCTTTGAATCCACAGTGGGAAGTCATAATTTGATTCCAGAGGCAGAGTTCAAGGAAATAGATGGGGGAATGTTGTCAAAAAAAGTTATAACTGCTTTCCATAGTTGGGAGCGCCACAGGCAGCAAGAAAAGCAACATTCACTTCAGCTGTGCCTACTACAGGCAAAGTCCAGAGACCTTAAGATGCTGGCAGAACTGGATGAGCACAGATGAGAACTGATGCCCCATGCCTATACTGGAGACCTTCCTAATTTCTCTCATGGTGAGGCCTACACCTTCTTCTAAGAGCAGTTTGCTGAAAAACAAAGAGGGACTTTGGTAACTTCATTACCAACCTGGATTTAACAATCATACCTTATTAAGGTTTTTTTTTTTCCAAGATAGGATCTCAGAAACTACTTGCCTAGGGCTGACGTCAATGCTCTCTCCCCCCCATCTCTGCCTCCTGAGTAGCTAGGATTACAGGTGTGAGCCACTGGCGCTTGGCCTTATTAAGGTTTTAATACTTTATTTTTGCATGTGGAAAAACCAATATGTTTTTGGCATGAGCACTAAACTTTATTTTGAATGAATTTTGACCATTTTCAGTAATCAAATATGCACTTAAAAGTTGAGAAGATTCAAAAAAACATACTGTAGTTGCCACCATGCAACATGTTATCTGCATAAAGGGTTTTAAGTCCCAGGGGTCTGTTGAATGAGACCTGTCAAGTAACTGAGCACTTACCTACTTACTGCCACTGAAGGAACCACAGAGTGTTATATTACCCATCTATAGTGTCAGACCTGTGAATGAACTTGAGGAAAAAAGTCTTTCTTCTAAACTTTGCACAGGCTTAAAGCAATTTTGAGTGAAGCAGAGAAGGAAAGAGAGAGAGAGAGAGAGAGAGAGAGAGAGAGAGAGAGAGAGAATAAGTTTCAATTAAAATGTTGGCCAAGATGGGCACCAGTGGCTCACATCTGTAATCCTAGCTATTTTGGAGGCTGAGAATCAAGGTTCAAGGACAGCCCAGACAAGTAGTTCCCAAGACCTTATCTCCAAAATAATGAGAACAAAATGGGCTGGAGGTGTGGCTCAAGCTATAGAATGCCTGCTTTGTAAATGTAGAGTCCTGAGTTCAAATCCCATCACCTCCTCCCCCCAAAATCTGTTCCACAAAAATAAATAGATAAAAGTGTTGGGTAAAGGTGGGTCTGCAAAAGGAAGGGATGTTGAAAACTCAATAGTAAGAGCAAATTGCCCTTAAAACTTTTATGAAATTGTATAAAATATTTGGGATCCCCACATTAACACTTTCTGCCACTTCTAAGTAGTCTTGTAGTTTTATCATCCTGCTCCCAGAATCCCTCCCCTCCAGAAAGCCCTGCTTTTTTTTTTAATTTTTATTGTTTAATTATTCATATGTGCATACAAGGCTTGGTTCATTTCTCCCCCCTGCCCCCACCCCCTCCCTTACCACCCACTCCGCCCCCTCCCTCTCCCCCCACCCCCTTGATACCCGGCAGAAACTATTTTGCCCTTATTTCTAATTTTGTTGAAGAGAGAGTATAAGCAATAATAGGAAGGAACAAGGGTTTTTGCTAGTTGAGATAAGGATAGCTATACAGGGTGTTGACTCACATTGATTTCCTGTGCGTGGTGTTACCTTCTAGGTTAATTCTTTTTGATCTCACCTTTTCTCTAGTTCCTGGTCCCCTTCTCCTATTGGCCTCAGTTGCTTTTAAGGTATCTGCTTTAGTTTCTCTGCATTGAGGGCAACAAATGCTAGCTAATTTTTTAGGTGTCTTACCTATCCTCACACCTCCCTGTGTACTCTCGCTTTTATCGTGTGCTCAAAATCCAATCCCCTTGTTGTGTTTGCCCTTGATCTAATGTCCACATATGAGGGAGAACATATGATTTTTGGTCTTTTGGGCCAGCCTAACCTCACTCAGAATGATGTTCTCCAATTCCATCCATTTACCAGCGAATGATAACATTTCGTTCTTCTTCATGGCTGCATAAAATTCCATTGTGTATAGATACCACATTTTCTTGATCCATTCGTCAGTAGTGGGGCATCTTGGCTGTTTCCATAACTTGGCTATTGTGAATAGTGCCGCAATAAACATGGGTGTGCAGGTGCCTCTGGAGTAACTGTGTCACAGTCTTTTGGGTATATCCCCAAGAGTGGGATTGCTGGATCAAATGGTAGATCGATGTCTAGCTTTTTAAGTAGCCTCCAAATTTTTTCCAGAGTGGTTGTACTAGTTTACATTCCCACCAACAGTGGAAGAGGGTTCCTTTTTCCCCGCATCCTCGCCAACACCTGTTGGTGGTGGTGTTGCTAATGATGAAAGCCCTGCTTTTGATTTTGTCACAGTCAGGATGTGAATGACATTGTAGACTAGGGAGTTGCCCTCGAATCAAGGTCGGCATAACTAGACAGTGTCCTAAAGCATTTTAACCAGTTGTTCCTCAATAGGTAACTGCCTCGAGGTCAACCAGTGATTTCTGGAAACCAGTCTAATGGTAGGATACCTCCCAGTACAGGATCTCTTCTACCCTCAGATATCTCAGCTTTGTCAGCCCATGGTTACCAGAGTACCTGTAACAGGGCTGACAGTGTGGTTGTAGCAGCTCCTCCCTCATGTCTTCTTGTTTTTCTTCTGGGAAATGCCCCTTACTCACCCCATTTGCTACTCTCTTCTTGTATCCGTTAAGGGTTTTTATGGCCAGTGGTTGCTAGGTTATAAAATAATGTTAGTGCAATGAAGCCTGTACATTTAATTCTGTCTGAGTTGAGTAGCTTTGTTTTCATATAAAAGCGAATTGAGCCTCTAGCTCTGGGCAGCCACTCTGTCTACAAGGGGTGAAGGTGTGGATGATCTAGTGAGAAATCCACCTTTTGTGCTATGGTGGTGTTTTACTGTATATAGAGATGTAGTTACAACTTGTTCAATACTTAGGACAGTTAAGAAAGTCTTAACTGTTTTATCCTGAAGAGATTGTTTAACTACTTGGGACTAACCTAGTCCTCCATTTTCCCTCTCTAGGAAAGAAGAAAAATAAGCTGATACTTTATAGGTCAGAGTGTATGTTCTGAGATGTGGCTTGCTGGTAGAAATGAATTTGCCTAGAGCTTTTCAGACTGAATTTTCCTGGATCCTCTAATAATAATGAACATGGTTATTTACAAAAGGGTGGGAGCAGGGAGCAGCTTGTAGTCAGGGAAGGAAATCACTGGCTTCTGGGAGCATAACCATTACTAACTCCTAAACTTCTTGAGGATAATAATACAAAGCCCATGAATACTCATTTTTATATCGTGGAAGTGTGCCTAACAGGGAAAGTGTCACCAGAGGATGGATGAAGGGGCTCCTACAGCTTCCCAGTTTCCACTCAAAATCTCAAGTCCTTGAGATCCACAAACATTGAAAAGCATTTCAAGGTGTCTCACAACAAGGAGTCTCACAAGGTGAAAGTCCTAGTAAGGATTTATTTTAGTATAGCAGGAATAACATATAGCTGGAGGGAGAGAAAAAGAGAGATAAACATTTCCTGTTCCCACACAGGAAATGGGAGCAAAGACTCAAAATGGTGGTCCCTAACTCCTAGTTTTATACTGGAAAGCTGGAGAAATACACATGGTCAAAGATAATGGGTCCTGGAGGCTGAGGTGGCTGACAGGGAGGGGTCACCCTCCCAAATCACACCCTAAATCCAATAGGATGCTTTAGAACTTCCTTTCCTAGACATTATTATTCTCCACCCATTCAAGAATCCTTGCAGCTTCCTAACATCTCAAAGAGAAAAGCAGAAGCAGGTAGCTCCTCTTTGTCTCCCAGTTTTTATAACTTAGCATCTAAAAGATGGGAGGGGGCCAGCTGTCCTGACTCTTGTTCCAATGTGAGCGTCTGGCCTTTTAAATATTGATTAAAATATAATTTTCCTGTCTCCTCATCTAACTATCCTGCTTCGAAAGTACTTGATAATTGCCCTTCTGAATACAGTCCTCTGAGCACCTTGCCCCTTGGGTCCATAATTCTCTTTATTTTACTAAGCGAAGTGGAACTCACAGGTACTGGCAGGCTTGCCTCTCCTCAGGGTGATCAGCTTGGAGTTGTCTGTGGTTAATAAGATAAGGACCGGTTATTTAGGAAGACAAAGTAAAATGATGCTGTAGATAATTATAAGGACTTATTTTGAGTGGAAAACTGCCTTTGCTGAGGGCCTATTATACACCAGGTTTTATTCTCATTTCATTTAATTTTTACAACATTAAAATAGACTAGACTAGGCATTTCCCTTCGCTTATATGGGAGAACACGGAGGATCAGAGACATAATTGCTAGGATTTTGGAATTTAAACTCAGGTGTTTTCAACCACAAAGCTCATTCTCTGCCTAAACAGCATCTGGAGCTTAGTAGGTATTCAGTAAAAATTTCAAAGGGCCAGGCACCATTTTCTCCTGGGATGCCCCAATAAATATGTAGAATTAACAGAAATCAAGCCCAAGGTCCAGGACCCTGCACGGCTTGAGACTTGAAAGCAGGCCATCCCAGGCCAAGGGAGTCCTGACCTCCGTCCGGGCCAAGATGCCCCATCTCGGTGGGGGGGTGGCCCGGGCGGGCCCCGCAGGCGGGCAGGAGCTCCGAGGCCATTGGCTGGCGCGCCGGCTGCGGAGGGCGGGGAGCCGCCGAAGGGGACTGTTTGCTCCTACGGGCTGTAGATGGAGCTGTCCGGCCCCGGCGAGGGGGAAGGCGCCTGGAAAACGTTCTTCTTCTCCCTGGCCGGCCCGAGCGGGGAACAGCACTCCCAGGATGCAGTTTGTGTCAACACGGCCGCAGCCTCAGCAGCTGGGCATCCAGGGCCTGGGGCTGGACAGCGGGAGCTGGAGCTGGGCCCAGGCTCTGCCCCCGGAGGAGGTCTGCCACCAGGAACCGGCGCTGCGCGGGGAAATGGCCGAGGGAATGCCGCCCATGCAGGTGGGTGCAGCCCCCACCGGCGCCATGGCCGCGCCGCTGCCGTGGGGGCGGGGCGGGGCCGGCGGGGCCTGGGGGAGCCTCGCGGTGCCCGCGCTGGACGCGGCCCCCGGCGGCCGGGCGTGCGGACCGACGGGCCGAGCGGGCCCCGACGCAGGCCCCGGGCGGCAGGCCCTGCCGTGAGGCCGCCGAGGAGCTCTGCCGGCCGGCGTCCGGCCAGGCCCGGTGCCCACCGCGATGCGGGGGTCCAGGCTGCACTGCCCGGGACCTGGCGTGGCCGTGCGCCCTTCACTGGGCCCGGCCGGGGCTCCCCTTTGCGCCTGGCCTGCCGAGGCTCTTGCGGGCAGGCCTGCTGCCCCGCCGCCAGGAGCGAATACCTCGTCCATGTTTACACTGTAGCCAGTTTGATGAAAAGATTTTAACGTGTTTTACTACCTTCTTTCTCCAAGTACAAGGAGGAATGCACTTTTTCTCTGCCCCGGGGATGATCCAGGGAAGGGACCACGCAGAGGGAGGGGACTTTGTGGTCTTGGGTTGGCAAACTTGGCTGCGTATTGGAATCGTTTGAGCAGCGTTTAAGACAACTGACGACGCCCAAAGCCGCGTCCCGGAGTCGGTAACCTTCGAGTCCCTGGGAGTTAGGAGGCACCAGAGTGCCAACGAGTTTGAGAAGCAGTGCCCCAGTGATGGGCATCCAACAGACGGAAGAGGGTTGAAAAAGGCCTGAACGCTTCCTTAGAGGGGAGTCTTGGAGCTGTCCCCTGGCCAGACTCCACACAGCTCCCCTCTGCTCCCACCTCATTCTCAGCTGGGTTGTAACAAGTCAACCAGGAGTTACTATGTTGCCTTTGATTTTTTCAGCCTTAGAACTTCAAACTCAGGAAAACTAAACTGGCCCCCGAATTAGCAAACTTAGCCTCTGTCCACCCTATCCTCTTCCTCTGGGAGTGAAACCTACATGAACCCATGGATGGCTTTGCTGAACATAGGGCTGCCCCTTACCCAGCAGGGGCTGGCATTCCCAGGGTCTTGCTCTTCTCGCTCCCATGTCAGGGAAAAAGGACATTGTGAAGTGGTCCTCTGACTGTCACAGCTGGTTTGAGAAAATGGCTTCATGCTTGTCACAGGCTGTCCAGCTCAACTCAAAATAACAGGACTCCATGTTACCCACCCTGAGGGCCTCTTCAGCAGCAGCAGTGAGAACAGAAAGGGTCGCCTCCTCCTGTCAGGGTGAGAAGGAGAGTCGGTTATCAGCTTGTGTCATCATCCTGAGAGCCTGGGTGCTGGCACAGTATGTACCCCGCACCCAGATTACCAATGAACCTTTACCACCCTCCCCTCTCCTCTCTTGGCCATAGCTTTCAGCCTAGGCCTACTGGCCTCATCTTTGAGATGAGTGTTGTTGCAGGAAGATAAAGGGGTACCCCCTCTCCAGGAGTCAGGGAGGGGCCCAGAGCTTTTCATCTTATTCCCCTTAGGGGTGAAGGTCTCTAATTAGTGTCATTTAAAAAAAAAATCTCTTTTCATTTTGCAAAATATGTGAAAAAATAGTTTTATATGAAATAATAAAAAACAAAACAAAACAAGTGCTGGTCTGCTCCCTAGCTTAAGTGCTCTGGCCTCTCTCTTGGTTACAGTCCTGGTAGAAATAGTGTTGGCAGCAGGTTTGCAGTGTTTGTGTTACCTGTGGCACTAGCCCTGCGCCAGATAGCAGCGCAGGGCAGTGCTGTGGAATGACCAGCGGCTTCTCTGTACCTCAATTTCATCATCTTTCAAGCAGAGATAATCATTCTTGCCCTAACCTGCTGAGAGATTGCTGGGAAGATTAGTGTCAGACAACTTACATGAAAATTCTTACCTTGAAACAAAAAAACATGAAGCAAATACGAAGTTTGTTAAGTCTAGCCCATGAAGAAAGTAGAGAAAGGGTTCGGGACATTTTAGGCTTTGACTTGGCAAGGATCAAGATAGGCAAACTAGGTAGCAGCCTGTTTCACATGGCATGATGGGAGAGTGGTTAGTTGAATGGGTGGATGGCCGGTCTAGCTATTGCTGGGGGCACCATAGCTGGAGGTGGGGAGTTGGTTGACAAATGACAGCATGGAAATTATTTGTCCCGTTTCAAGCTATTTTCTCCTTCCCACATACTCCTGTTTTTTTTTTTGTACTTTTTCTCCCCCCCCCCCCCACATATTCTTATCCCTATCACTTTCTCCCTCTGCACACAGGCTCAAGAATGGGACATGGATGCCCGGCGACCCATGCCTTTTCAGTTCCCTCCCTTCCCAGATCGGGCCCCTGTCTTCCCTGACCGCATGATGCGGGAGCCCCAGTTACCCACAGCAGAGATCTCTCTCTGGACCGTGGTGGCCGCCATTCAGGCTGTGGAGAGGAAGGTGGATGCCCAGGCCAGCCAGCTGCTAAATCTGGAGGGACGCACTGGGACAGCAGAGAAGAAGCTGGCCGACTGTGAGAAGACAGCTGTGGAGTTTGGCAACCACATGGAGAGCAAGTGGGCCGTGCTGGGGACTCTGCTGCAGGAGTATGGGCTGCTGCAGCGGCGGCTGGAGAACCTGGAGAACCTGCTACGCAACAGAAACTTCTGGGTCCTGCGGCTGCCACCTGGCAGCAAGGGGGAGGCCCCCAAGGTATGTGGCGGGCTAGGGGCAGGGCTGGAGGTGAGGAACTGCACAGGTGAACAAACCTTTGATTTCATCTTGTTAGGCCTCACAGACTTGGCTGACTCCCTGTTGTCTCATTCAGTGTCTTTTGTCTCTCCATAACCTGTCTTGAATGTTGTACCCCAGCAGGGCTGACCTTTATTCCCACAGCCTTGGTGGTTACCATCCCTCACTCTCCCTGAGTTGTCTGCAAAGATCTGTGGCTCTTTACTAATTGGTTTTCTCACTCAACACCAACCAGTGGACTATTTGTCATTGGTTATCTTTGTATATGTCTGAACTGTGGCTAGAGAAAGTCCCCAAACCATGCTGGCTGAAATCACTTTCAAGTCATGATCACTAACCTCAGGTGTGCCTTTCTTAGGTTCAGAATTCATGCTCCCTTGGCTGTCCCACCCTCCTGGCTCATCAACACTGCACTTTCAAATCAATGGCCCGGCTTTCTATTTCTCTGAGAGAATCCCTCAAAAGAGGCTTCCCTGTACAGCAACTCATTCCTCTATCTGCTGCCTCAGTGCACATGCCCTCTGCCTCCCCTGCCTCTGTGGCTCTGTGCCTACCCCCTGCCCAGTCTCTAGGGAGGTCCCTCTAGCATCCCTCCCTATTCTCTGGATCATCTCCACCAGCATGTGAACTTTCTGGACCCCTCCTTGGTCCCTACACCTCCCTCCACTAAGTGCTTTACATCTCTTTCTACTTGGAGCTTCTTTGTCTTTCTCTTTGGAGCACAATCCCTTAAAAGATTTCTAGGACTAGAGGTGTGGCTCAAGTGATAGAGTCCTACCTAACAAATTCAAGGTCCTGAGTTCAAAACCCAGTACTGCCAAACAAAACCAAAACCAAAAAAGACTATTGTTTAAGTAGAGTTGCTTGTAATTAATATCTCTAATTCTTTCTTCTCCATTTTCTCCTCCTTCCCTTTTTAGTGTAATGGACCTCGGAGTACACATCAGCTTCAGCATTGTCACCTCTTTGCTGGTTTTATTTCTCCTACTTCCTCGCTCCTAATTTTTTTTTTTTTTTTTTTTTCTGGTGGAACTGGGTTTGAACCCAGGGTTTCACACTTGCAAAGCAGGTGCTCTCAAGCCAAACCTCAAGCCGCCCCAACTTTTTTTTTTTTTTTAGCAAACTCCAGACATTAATCATTTTGTTTATAAGTATTTCAGCTCTAAAAGGTAACAACTCTTTAAAACATATCAACCTCCACGTTACCACCACCACTATAGTAAAAGCTCTACTCCAGCATCTAGTTGATATTCAAATTTTCAATTCATAGTTTTTCTTCATTTTTTTTGTTTGAATCAGAATTTAAATAATGTCCACATATTATGATTCATTTGTCTCTCCCATCTTTTTTGCTAATCTGTAGGTTCTTCTTCCATCTCTTATTTTTCCTTGCATTTTACCTAGGAAAGGAACTGGACCATCTGTCCTGTTGAGCATCTTACTAGATTCTGCTGATCACATCCCGTCCCTCTTGGTCTCATTGAACGTGTTTCTCTATTCTGAGTATTCCATTTGCTACCTGGATGACTCTCTGGAACCTACTGTCCTCAGGCTTTTGTTCCTACTCTTCTGTCCTATTGGTCTTACTGATTTCCAAGGTATAAGTCCTATTGATTTCCAAGGTATAAGAGCCACTGGTTGGATCTCAGTTCTCATCCTTCTGGCCTCATCAGCAGCAGTGCATGCAGGTAGCTACTCCCTCCTTGAAACACCTTTCATGTGGTTTCCAGGATTTATCTCTCTTTTAATTCTTTCCCTCTCTTGCTAGCTGCTTCTTCTCAGTCTGCTTTGCTGGTCTCCAGCTCAGTCTCAGCCTTTTGCTCTTATTTGCACTCCCTCCCTCATGACTTCATCCAGTCCTGTGGTTTTAAATGCAATCCGTGTGCTGTGACTCCCAGACACGCTCGTTCCCTCCTCCTTCTCTGTGTCCTGCCCAGGCTTCCTTCCTGGATGCCAGATTCACATTCCTATCAGTTAATTCAGCATCGCCATCTGCATGTTAGTAGCTTAGATTTAATGTGACCAGGCAGAACTCTGGGTCTTCTGCCTGAAGTCTATTCTACCCAAAGTCAACTTCATCTCTGCTGAAAGCGGTTCCATCCTTTCACCCACTCAAGCCAAAGCTCTGGAGTCCTACCTGTCTCCTCTCTTGTTCACACCCTACTTCCAGTATATATCCACAGTGCAACCACTCCTCATTACCTCCACCACCAAACCATCACCTGCTTGGCATCACCCTCATCTTACTGATTCTTGCCACTGCCCCTTGACTGGTCTCCATCCTTGCTCCACCCCATAAATCTGTTCTCAATAAACCAGCCAAAGCAATCCCTTTAAAATGTAAGTCAGTCATACCACACCTCTGCCTAAACCTCCCAAGTGGCTTCTTACCTTATTTAGAATAAAACCCTAGGTTTCATCTGTTCCCCATTTTTCCAACCCCATCCTTTCCACACTCCTTCTTGTCTGCTCCCTACCAACACTCTGGCCTCCTGCTGTTTCCCAGTGTCACATATGCTCCTACCTCAGAGACAATCCACAGAAGCTCCTTTCTGGATTTCTGCATGACTCCCTTGCTTTCACCAGGGATCTGCCCAGCTGTTGCTTTATCGGTGTGCCATCCATGGCCACCCTATACAAGTCCCTCCTTGTATACTCTTTTTTGTTTTGTTTGTTTTGCATCACTGGGGTTTGAACTCATGGCCTTACAGTTGCTAGGCAGGGCCTCCTTGTATGCTCTTTTCCCTGCACACTTTTCCCTATCTCTACTCTAATTTTTTCTTAAGCATTTATGCCATTGGTATGTTAAACATTTACTTTTTTTTTTGATCTTTTGGTTGGCTTTCCTCAACCAAGATGCAGATTCTCTTGGTTCACTGCTGTATCTTTGTGTCTGTTTTTTCAGTACTGGGGTTTGAACTCAGAGCCTACACCTTGAGCCACTCCACCAGCCCTATTTTTGTGGTGGGTTCTTTCGAGATAGGGTCTCATGAATTATTTGCCCGGGCTGGCTTCAAACCACAATCCTCCTGATCTCTCCCTCCTGAGTAGCTAGGATTACAGGTGTGAGCCAAAGACGCCCAGCTGTATCTTTGTGTTTATAATAGCATCTGGCTTAGAGTTGGCATGTAAAAAAAATATTCACCAACTCTCAGTGGCTGGAGCACTACCAGCTCCATGGAAGGGACCAGGTCTTAAATGGCTTAGTATCTGCTGAGATAGGCAACCTGTTGACTCAGAGTTGAGCTGTAACAGTGGCTTTGGTTCCTGCACAGCATTGAATGTGATGTTGGTTATGTTGCTTGTCTAGCCTGATCAGCATTTTCCTTCACTGCCCTTTGCTCTTTTCTGTACTGCATGTTTTAACTCGGTACAGTATCCTTGCCTAGCACTGTCATATGTTATATGTGTTGGGTTAGGCGTTAGGAGTCTTTGGTTGCTGTGTGTTCTTGCATGATGGTGGAATGGTTATGGTGTATGGAATCAGAGGGCTTGGGTTTGAATGTTGACTATGTAGGCCACTGTCAGTTACCTATTGCTGTGTAATAAATTACCCCACAGTTTGACCATCTAAAAAATAGCCATCACCTCATAGTGTCTGTGGGTCAGGAGTTCAGAAGCAGCTTAGCTGCATAGTTCTGCTCAGTCCTGTGAAGTTACAGTCTGGCTTTTGACTGGAGGTGTGGTTATCGAAGATAGCTTCTAAGGTTCCTCCCTTACCTGGCTGTCAGCAAAAGGACTCCTTTCCTTCCCCAAGACTGCTTGAACTTCCTTACAACATGGCAGCTGCCTCCCCCTAGAGTGAGGGAATCCAAGATGGAGCTGCAGTGTCCTCTATGACCCAATCTTAGAAGCTGTACGCTATCATTTATTTGTTTGCAAGAAGCCAGTTTATCAAGTCCTACTCACACTCAAGAGGATGAGAATTAGGCTCCACGTTTTGAGGAACTGTCAAAGAATTCGTGGACGTGTTTTAAAGCCATCATAGACTTAGAGCATCACGAGAATGTTAGTGAAGGTTGCTGGCCTCAGTATAGACCACGCTGTGTACTCTTAGGTTAGATGGGATGCATTCTCTTTATCCGTTTGGATTCAGGAAGGATGTTCTTTCAGATCCTTTGGGCCTGTTTGGTTCTATTGTGTCTGTTAATTGATTCCTAGCTAATTCATGCACCGTCTTTCCAGCTAGAATATAGGCTCCCTCTAGTCTCAGATTTCTGAAGTATCCTATCACAGTGCAGCTTTTTATTTTTTATTTATTTATTTATTTTATTATTCATATGTGCATACAAGACTTGGGTCATTTCTCCCCCCTGCCCCCACCCCCTCCCTTACCACCCACTCCGCCCCCTCCCTCTCCCCCCCACCCCCTCAATACCCAGCAGAAACTATTTTGCCCTTATTTCTAATTTTGTTGAAGAGAGAGTATAAACAATAATAGGAAGGAACAAGGGTTTTTGCTGGTTGAGATAAGGATAGGTATACAGGGAGTTGACTCACATTAATTTCCTGTGCGTGTGTGTTACCTTCTAGGTTAATTATTTTTGATCTCACCTTTTCTCTAGTTCCTGGTCCACTTTTCCTATTGGCCTCAGTTGCTTTTAAGGTATCTGCTTTAGTTTCTCTGCGTTAAGGGCAACAAATGCTAGCTAATTTTTTAGGTGTCTTACCTATCCTCACCCCTCCCTTGTGTGCTAAAGCTTTTATCATGACAGTGCAGCTTTTTAAAAAGTGATGTCTGAGCCGGGTGCTGGTGGCTCATGCCTGCAATCCTAGCTACTCAGGAGGAAAGAAATCAAACCCAGCCCAGGCAAATAGTCCGTGAGACCCTATATCGGAAAAACCCATGACCAAAAAAGGGCTGGTGGAGTGGCTCAAGGTGTAGGCCCTGAGTTCAAGCCATAGTAGTACACACACACACACACACACACAAAAGTGATGTCTGTTTCCAAATGTGAGATATGATTCTGAAGTTTTGATTCTCCAAAGAAATGCCAAAATAGGCAAAGGAGCTGTTATGTTGGAAAAGCTAACAAACTTATAATTTAGTTTGAGGTGCTTATAGACAATTAAATGGAGACACTCAGATGGCTGTGGAAATTTGAAGGGAGCCAAGAAAATTTCAGAGTGTTATCTGCAAAGAGGTAACAGTTGTAGTAAAAAGAATGAAATTGCCAAGGGAAAAGTAAAGAAACAGGGAAGGGTAAGGGCAGAGCAGAAAATAGTAAAGAAGATGTGTGCTGGTTGGACCACAGGCAACCTAGTTGTGGAAACTGAGCAGGAGAAACTTCTAAGAATGTGCTCTGACCTTTCAAAGAGGTCTGAAAGGGTGAGGATTTAGCAGCAGCTCACTGATGATCTCCAGGGTATAGTTCCAAAGAATGACTGGTATATAGGATTTTTTTTTTTCTTTTTTTGTGGTACTGGGTTTGAACTCAGAGCCTTGTATTATATTTGCTAAATAGGTGCTCTACCATATCCCTAGGCCTTTTGGCTTTTAGTTTTTTTTTTTTGTTAAAGAATTTTTTATATTTTAATTTATTTTTGCAACACTGGGGATCGAAACCAGGGCTTTCCACATGCTGAACTCCAGCCCTTTAGTTATTTTTTGAATAGGGTCTAGCATTTATTTATTTATTTTGCAGAACTGAGGCTTGAACTCAGGGCCTTCACCTTGAGCCACTCCACCAGCCCAATTTTTTGTAATAGGGTTTTTTCGAGATAGGGTCTCATGAACTATTTGCCCAGGCTGCCTTTGAACTGCGATCCTCCTGATCTCCGCCTTCTGAGTAGCTAGGATTACAGGCGTGAGCCACTGGCGCCTGACTGGCCTGGACACTGGTCTTCCTATTTATGCTTCTCCTGTAGCTGCGATAGTAGGCACATACCATCACACCAGCTTTTATTGGATGAGATGGGGTCTTGCAACTTTTTCCCTGGGCTGACCTCGAATTGCTATCCTCCTGATTTCTGCCTCCTAAGTAGCTAGGATTACAGGTGTGAGCCACTGTGCCTGGCTCAAAGACAGATTTTAGGAGGTTAAAGTATGCATAGATTGCAAAAAAGGAGAAATGGAATATGTCTCTTGGGATGTCTCAAATGAAGAGCATGAGTTGAGTAACTTGAGGCAGCAAAGTTGAGGGAAGATTTTTCTTATGTTGGAATGACACTGAAGAGAAAGAGCCAGTGATGGGGAGAAACTAAAGTATAGAAGAGACAAAATTGTTTGGGTTGAGTTTTGCAGGGAGGACATGGAGGAGAAATGAAGGGCACACACTGGCAGGTTTGACTTGGCAAGAAGGAAAGGGCAAGGAAGGAGCTTGCCAATGTCCACGTGAGATCAGAGACAGACTGGTGGAGATGCAGGAAGGCCAGAGGGGTGTTTGGGGAGTGAAGTTTGAAACAACCTTCCTGGGGAACATAGTAAAGTATCAAAAAACAATTGGTTTCTGAAGCAGCCATGGGACAAGTGGTGTGAATTTATGGCAGATGTTGACTAAGAATTCTGTGTTTTATCTAACAACAGGGTATTAAAATGAAGAAAGGAGGCTGTGTCAGTTTTCTTACATTGGGGATTTGCCTAAGTCTGATGGGATGCCCAAGGAGTTAAAAATTCCAGTTATGATTTTATATACACACGGGAAGCACACATCACACTTGCACAGGGTGCGCTTGCAGCTTTGTGTGCTGGCTTGAGGCTGCCATTTCTAATTGTTGTAAGGGTACTGCCCACTCACCAAGCTGTATGCCAGGATCTGTGCAATTGCTGAATCTAATTTGCACCAGTGTGCCACACAGACTGGCTTTGGCCCTGCACACACAGGCATGAAGACTAATGGACAAGGACATGGGGATGGGGGTGAGTGGAGAGATCAGATTTCAGAGTGAGAGTGGGAGGCTGGCTCACCAGGGATGTAAGAGGAGTAGGAAGGAAGCTCGTGTGGTCAGAGAGGGAAGCTCAGTGATAAAAGTCACAAAAGTGAAATCGTTTTGAACAGTTGGGTTCGAGGTGAGGTGGTTCTGGTGAAGGCTGAAATGAGCATAGACAAGGCTCCTGGTCAAAGTGAAACAGTGGTGTTATGTAGCAGATCAGAATACCCTCACTGGTGAGTGATTGATATGAGGCTGTGACCCAGAACACCTTGTGAGGATGGTCTATCCTGAGCTTTCGCATGTGCCTTTGACTTCTGTGTTTTAGTGACAAATGTAACTGTGTACACACAAGTGACCTGACCTGAAATACAGGTTTTATCACAGTGTTATACTATACTTGGCTCCTTGATACCCACACTGAGAACCTTCCACACCTCTGTCACCTGAAAGAAGAACATTGACTACAGCTTTTCCTTTAGGTGTCCAGTTGACCTGGAAGTGAAATAGGAAAGGATAGGGTTCAATGCTTTAAAAAAAGAAAAGAAAAGAAAAAGAGAAGAGAAAGGCAGTGTTGACCGTCATTGCTATTGGAAGCCTGAGAAGGTCAGGGATGGAGAGGTCTGACTTGATGAAAATGGACTGATATGTGCTGGGGTTCAGAGCTTGGGGTTTGGGAGCAAAGGCCAGGCTTTAAGCTAGGCTGACACCCATGGCCTACAGATGAGAGGGGTGAGGAGCAGCAAGAGGCGCTAGACTAAACCTCCTGTTGGCCCAGGTCCCAGTGACTTTTGTCGACATTGCTGTCTACTTCTCTGAGGATGAGTGGAAGAACTTGGACGAATGGCAGAAGGAGCTTTACAACAACCTCGTTAAGGAGAACTACAAAACCCTGATGTCCCTGGGTAAGGACACCTTCCCTGTCCTTTGGTGAGTGCTATCTGGAAAGGGCTGTGACATGTATATTAACCTAAAGGAAGAAAACTGTTTGTTTTTGGTACTAGGAACATAAAACAGTTTATGGTAGTATAGAAAATAAAAAACCCAGTGACAGAGTCGGTCACGAGAGAGTTCTCTGTAGCACTACCATTACAGAGTACAATAAAATAGCACATTTGCTGTTTTGTATGTTGCACCCCAAGAGTGTGGGGTAAGCCATAGTTAGTATGATGTTGGCTTTCAGAGATCAGCTCTTTCTGACAGTGAACCTGGGAATCTTTTCAGGATTCTTCATAAAAGGTTACCTACCTTACTTACATAACTGCTGCCATGCAGAGATGTGCAGATGAGAATGGGGAGGTGGCTAGTGGAGATCTCTTCCATCTCCCTTGATCTAGTTTCACTGGTCAACCTTACACAGCCCTCTATCCCTTCCTTCTCACTTCTAGATGCAGAGGGCTCAGTGCCCAAGCCAGATGGCCCCACCCAGGTGGAGCCCAGAGAAGAGCCTTGTGTGTGGGAGCAGCGGCACACAGAAGAGAGAGAAATCCCAGTGGATACAGACACAGGTGATGGCTGCTGAAAATAGTGCCAGGTCCAGGGAAGGGCGGGAGAGGAGTGCTGGGCATCCCACACAATGCATTGGGAGGCACTACTGCAACTGGTCAAGAGAAGGGTCTCCTGAATTGCCCTTGGGGGCTAGTTCTGCTGTGGTTGAAATGTAGCAGTTGCTTATGGGAAGAGACCTTGACCTAAAACCACACCATGGTTTGTTTAAGCCATGGTAGCTCTGAACTCATAGGTAAACTGGGTAGAGAGATGAGGAGGGACTTAGGCTTGCAATACCTCCCAGGCCTGATTGGGAAAGAGAGAACCTAGATTTGGGAGCAGACAGGCTGCAGACCTAGGCTTAGGGAGTTTGGCAGAGGAAGAGAGAAGGGAGTCTGACGGGGAGGCGTGGTTCCTTACTGCCTGTGTGTGTTCTGCAGTCGTACACCTCATTCTCCACACACACACACTCACACTCACACTCACACTCTGCCCGTAGGTACTCACCCCACAAGGCTCTTTCTTCACTCAGAAAGGAACCCCAAGTCCTGAGAATTCACACTTGGCAGCCTTCACTGGTATGGAAGTTGCTAGGGGCCTAGCCCCAGCTCTGCCCTAGGGGTCTTTCCCCAGGGTCGTAGCTCTCCTGAGCGGGGTGGACAAGGTAAAATCTGCACTTGACTTGTATCTGCCGGGCTGCGTGAGCACTCAGCGGTCCTCAGTCCGCCCTTGTTTGTAAGTGGAGGGAGTTTTCACGGGGCTTGTAGCACTCTTCTCTCTTCTTCCAGTCTTTTCTTTTACTGAGGTGTAATTTGTGGGCCATAGAATTTCCTGCTTTAAAGAATACTGTTTAGTGATTTACAAAGTCCTACAATCTTCACCACTGTCTAGTTCTAGAACATTTTCTTAATGAGAACCCCCATACCCATTAGCAACCACTCCCCAGTCCTCTTCCCCCCAGCCTCTGGCAACCATAAATCTGTTTGCTGTCTCTGTGGATTTGCTTGTTGTGGATGTTCATCTCAGTTGCTCCTTCCCCACCTTCATCAGGCACTGCAGATATTTAGTTCAGTAGCCGTGGTTACAGCAACTAGTGTAATGTGGTCATTTCTTACATTTCACGTCCTGTGACCTCAATAGTCTCACTGAGTTATCAAACCATTGCTGGTCACAAAACATAACATGGACTACTACTGTGCCTACTTTTTAGATGAAACAGACAGACAGACCAAGAGAGGTGAAATGACTCATGTACCAAGTTGGTGGCAGAGTTGAAACCAAGATCTCCACCTTCAAATTCCTCACCCAATCTCTTTTTCTGTTGCCTGAGCTGTCTCTTGCCAGGAGCTAGTACATTGTACCATAGAGTACCAGAAAAAGAAAATGCCCTTCAGTCATGTCTTGGAGTTTTTCCTAAAGGATTCATCATTGGCTTTTATGCTTGAGGATGCTGTGCTTTATCCACCCAAGATCAGGGCACAATTGTGCCTCTTTGCACAGCGTGTCTGCTTCATAATCACATATGTGCTCACATATGTCTGTATATGGTCACTTGGGTAAAAAAATAAGGACAAACAATTTTTACACAAAGATCAAACATGTGACCAAGTCTGGGTTAGTCCCAACCAGTTGCACAGCATTTTGTTTCCAAAGTCTCTCTGGCCTTCTCACACCTCATTTTGCTGTTTACCTATCTTTTTTTTTCCTTGAATGTCGGTCACTTCTCTGCTCCTGGAACCTTGGAGTCTCCTGTGGCTACAGTAGAAACCCAAGATCCCTGTACTCTCCCCCAGCAAGTGCCAGCAGCCATGCTTCTGACCTCAGAATGTCCTGGTGAACAACATACAGAAAAAAGACTCCAAGTAGTATGGTTTTTTTGTCCCTAGTTGCAGAGCCCCTGGTTCCTGCACAGGATGTGCCCTCCCAGGTAAAGCGAGAGGAAGCTCTGTGTGTGCGGGGCCAACGAGGCATGGAGGAAAGAGCCATCCCCACGGAATCCATCACTGGTGAGTGGGCCAAATAGGTGTCTGCCCCAGGACTGGACAGGAGAGTGTGCACGGTCTACAGTCCCCTGCTATAGCATGTGTGTGCATGAGGTTGTCTACCATGTGTGCCAAGCCAGACAGCAGCACAAGTAATGGAAAAACTGTAGGTGAAGGACTGGGCCAAGACAGAGCTTCTTCAGGGGTACAGGTATGGCATTCAGTAGAATTTGCAGCTACTTCTGGCTTGGCTTGTTCTCTTTCCTCTCTTTGTATTACTAGTTTTGAGCTGTGCCTCTCTCCCCTTTAAAAACAGTATCAGAGCAGAAGTACTAAGTGTATAGCATTTTACTAGGTTCTATGGGTGGCAAAATATAGAAGCTGGTAAGACCTACTCTCTGACCAGGAAGAGGTTTCATTGCTTTCTACAAGTGTTTATGGGCTGCTGCGTCCGAGCCAGGCTTCCCCCTGCCCGTGTGACTGTGGGGAGCTGCTCATAGATGCTGTTTCAGCTAGGCTCTGTTTAGGTGAGACTCTGTTGCAACATGTGTGCACAGTCAGTGGGGTGTGTGTGTGTGCGCACGCACATGCACTTACATGTATGTATATATAGAGAAATTTGTTTTAAGAATTTGCTCATGTGATTATGAAGGCTGGCAAGTCCAGAATTCAGGATGGAGACTTAGGAAGAATTGATGTCTGCTGGTGGAATTCCTTCTTCCTTGGGGTTGGTCCATCTTTTTATATTAAGGCCTTAAATGCGTTGGATGAGGCTCATCTACATTATGGAGGGCTATCAGCTTTATTCATAGTCTGCTGACTTAAATGTTACTATCATCTAAAAAATATCTTCACAGACACATTGAGAGTAATGTTTGACTCCAAGTCAAGTTGACACATAAAAACAGCCATAACAAGGTAGATTAACATATTCTAGCTCTTTACATGACCACTGGTGAGCTTCATACCTCATACCCCCTTCGCAAAGACAGCCCCACAGGCAAGAAATTACAGCATACAAGCAGAGGACAGCCCTTCACTGGTCAGATATTGTCAGACATTGCTATCTCTAAAGAGACCTTTAAGAGATAAGAAGATAATAACTGATAAATAAGGTTTAATAGGGTGATTCATCTAGAAAAGTTCTGTTTAAATGATGAGTCTAGAAGTCTTCCTGGAAGGATCATCTTCCTGGGAAATGCCTCGTGCAGATCCTCGGTTCCATGGTAGTCATGACACTGGCGTGGGGACCATATTCTGGTGGGAGATTAAATATCTAGAGTCACATTTTTTTTTTCTGTGGAATCCACTGATTTGCAGCCAACGCTGTATTTCTTGTGGACAGAGTAACTTGAATCTTTAGTTAATTAGAATAATTTAGTTACACTTATGCCTGATCTTTTGGGGAAAACAGGTAATTGCATGAAATCAGGTTTCCTGAAAACACAAATGGCGGCAATTCCTGTCCTCTAATGCCTTTGCTGCTCTCATTCCCTTGAGTAGACTCCCCCATCTCTGCTCAGGAGCTCTTGTCCCGGATTAAGCAGGAGGAGCAGCAGTGCGTGTGGGACCAGCAGGATTTGGCAGAGAGAGATATTCCCACGGACCCCAATTCAGGTGAGAAAGATACGGGCGTGAAGTTTGAAGTCAAAGGAAACATAAATTGATAAAGTATTGTGTCAGTGGAATGGATACTAAAATTGCCTTAGCATTTATTTATTTTTATTTTTTTATTTTTTAGCAATTAAAACAACCAAAAAAGCTTTAAAAAGCTGTATATATTTCTGTGTCAGAAAATAATTTAGATTTCCTGGAATTTCTTTCAAGTGAATACTAGTTAGATATCTCCCATGAAATTTATGGGAAGGGCCCGGGCATTCAGGGATGCTCACTTGCCAGGGCTGTGTGTGTGTATTAGTGTATGTTTGCAGAACTGGGGGTCCATGTCATCCATTCTAGAAGTTCTAACACTAAAGTCTCACACTAGGCAGAGAAGGTGAGAGGCGGAGTCTAGGAATCCTTAGAGTTGGTCACCATGGCAAGGGAGAAATTGAGGAACCCAGCAGATGAGAAAGCTGAGCCTCCTTGGTAGAATCCTTAGGCTTCTCTGCGGTTCTGACCGCTGATTTCTGAGTCAGGCCAGTCAGCCATGGCACTTGGGCTGTCAAAACTGAGTTTTCTGAAGGCCTGTTCTGGCCCTGTGGTGCCTCTGGTGCTCAGTGGACAGTTGGAAGATCTGAGTTCCAATGTGACTCTATTGTTGCCCAGGCTTTGGGAGGAACCTCCTTGTCTCTGGCTACCTCAGAATATAGCAAGCAGCAAGTAAGAGCTCATATAGGAAGGCGTTTGAGAAGGCAAGAAGGAGCCCCATAAATGCAACACAGATACTGAGACCGCCACCCACCTGCGAGCTGGAGCTTCTGCATGCATTGGTTTTCGAACCTTTGGTGGGATGCTGGGTGGAAACGAACAAAGTCTAAGACCCCTTCTTTCCTGGCAACAGAGTCCCTTATCTCAGCACATGACATTTTGTCCTGGATCAAGCAGGAGGAGCAGCCATACCCGTGGGGCCCACGTGACTCAATGGAAGGAGAGCTCGGACTAGACTCTGGCCCCAGTGAGTACTGTGTGCCCCTGCTAAGACGCCGGGGTGTTTTGTCTAGGGCTGAATAGCTGAGGTCTGTGATGAGGGTTGCTTGCTTCAGACTCTCTACTTTTCAGGTGATATTCTGTTGGTGGCAGCCTTTCAGAGTCTGTCGTGACAGAACAGGACAGTGGATGCTCTTGTGTGAAATGGAATTTAGAGTCAGGCATGGTGCTCATGTCTATAATCCCAGCACTCAAGAGGCAGGAAGATTATGAGTTCAAGGCTAGCCAGGACTACATAGTGAGACCCTGTCTCAAAAAAAAAGAGCTAGATGTGTTGAAATGGAATTTAGGAACTTGGCATGGTGGAATGATAGGAGAGATCTAGAAGACTGACCACTGGCACAGGAGGAAATGACATCAGCCACCTCCACAGAGCACCCAGCCACTATTTCTAACTCTGGCCTTGAAGGTCCAGGAACCAACTCATCAGGCACTGCTAGGAAATTCTTCCCCAGCCCTTGTCCTCAGCACTACCTTCTTATTCTTCCAAGCTGGCTAGGAGCACATGGGCCTGGAAGACTGTGCAGGTATAGCAACAGAACTAGGAAAGCCCCTGGAGAACTTGCCAGGCTTTGCAAAGAACCATTTTCCTACTTCAGTTTGGATATGACAACTCATAGGATGGTTTCACTTGTGATATTTTGTCTTTGGGAGGCCTTGGAGCCCTAGCATTGGAGGAGATGCCCAGAATTGGGAAGACAGGCATATCAAAATATTTCTCCAGCTGCCTAGTCACTGTAGCCTCTTCAGGGTTTCTCTTCTTTCTTGCAAAGGGAGCCTCTCTTGCTTACTAACATTGGAATTTGAAACTAGTAACTCATCTGTGGTTTCTTTGAGGTTTAAAACAGATCTAGTTCGGTGTTTGCCAGGGAAAGTTGGATGAACTCTTGTAAGACATGGTATTATGTGGAAGAGTCTTCTGGAAAGAGATTGGAAGGAGAGAGGGGGATAGAAACAGGATGAAATGCAGAAACAGGTGATACCTGGTTTGTCAGTCTCCTTCCCCAGCCCTGGGCTGCTCAAGAGAGAAGGAACTGGTGTCCTGTTTGACTCAAAGTCAGACTTCAGCCTAATTGGACATGGTATTTTAGCAAAAGAGGCTCCTGATTTTATAATTAGTGAGCATGTATCGAGTCTCTACTCACAGACAGTGTAAGTAAGACAGGATTAAAAATCCAGTTCACCCAAAGTTAATTTGTGTGAGCTTCCATTGAAACAGAAGTTTGAATAGGACTTTGGAGTCCAGTGGCTATCATGTTCTTTGGAGGGAGTGGTGGTCAGGAGCCTTGAGCTGAGCCCCAACTACACCCTCTTGAAATTCCCACATTATTCACTACCTTGGATTAAAACAGTGGCCCCCAACCCTTTTTAGTTTTGACATATATTAAACAAAATTATAGGCATGATGGTGCATGCCTATAATCCCACACTTGGGAGACTGAGGCAGGAGGATTGTCAGTTCAAAGCCAGCCTGGGCTACATAGTAAGTTCCAGGGTAGCCTCTGACACATAGTGAGACTATCTCAAAAAAAAAAAAACAACAAACAAAACCAAGCAATGAAAGAAGCAAACAAAAAACAAAGCCCCCAGATTTAGTGCCCTTGCTATGCAGTGTTGTAAGCATGCAGCAGAAGCTGGGAAGAAAGACCTTTGCCTTTGTAGGCAGGGGCTCGATAGTAAGTAAACCAAGAAGCAACCAAGGTCAAGCCAGGGAGTGGCAAGCGCTCCAAAGAAAACAAGAGGAAGAGGAGGCAAGAGGGTTAAGGACAGAGTGGTCAGGAAGTCCTCCCTGGGAAGTGATGGCTGAGTGTTCCCTAGTCCCCGAGAAGAAGCCGACCACAGGACAGACCAGGAGAGGGAGGAGCAAGGGCTAAGGCCAAGGAAGCTTTGGGGGCTGAGGCTGGGGTGGTAGGCAGAGGTCATTGGCCAAATTGGATTGCACTGTAATAAGAAAGGAGTCTAGCAGAGGTGTTCAACAAGTAGTGACATGATCTGATTTCCACTTTTATAAAGTCAATTTGGGAATGAACAGACAGTAGGTATGGAATGAGAGGGAGCTGGGGAAGTGTTTTTGAGGCTGGTAAGTTTGCTGTCGCCCAGGTGAAGGGGTGATGGTTGGTCACAGTTGACACAGTAGCAGTACAGGTGGAGAGAGGGGATGCATTTTAACCGATGGATGAGTATTGGGTGAGGAATCAAGAATGCCTCCTAGGTCTGGGTCCAGAGGAAATGGGTAAATGTTGGTGCCATTTTCTGAAGTCCTGAGCCCTGGGAAACAACCAGGTAGCTGTGCAAAGTGTTTTACTTTGGTTCTATTAAAATTTGAGGTGAGGTGACATCCAAGTAGCAGAGTCAAGTATGAATATAGGAGTCTGAAGTTCATCAGAGAGCTCAAGGCTAGATTGATTTGGGTTATAAAATGAATGACATCAGGCATCAGGTATCTAGAGTTGGGTCACATTTCACAGGTTGAGGCTACCATCCTCTACAACATGGCCCTCATTTCAGCTACCATTTTGGGAGGTCCTAGGTCACCCTCACTTCTGACCAGCTGGCTCCAAAGTCTGGGATTCCCACTATCCCCTCAGGTTCAGGCATGTGCTAGAATGCCTAAAAATCTCAGGAAAGTGCTATACTTATGATTATAGTTTTACTATAGCCAAAGGATTCAAATCAGAACCAGCTAAACTTAAGGGCTATATCCCAGGAGCTGAGGGCAAAGGCAGTCAAATGATTGCATATAGGTTATTTCAAGCTCAGGACAATATGAGCTCTGAGGATAGAGAAGACAAAGTGGGTGGTAAGGGAGGGAGTGGGGGCAGGGGAGAAAATGACCCAAGCATTGTATGCACATATGAATAATAAAACAATAAAAAAAAATTAAAAAAAAAGAGAAGACAAAGAATTAAAGAAATCCCAGATTGTTGGGCACAGTGACTAATACCTGTAATTCTTGCTACTCCAAAGGCTGAGGTTGGGAGGATCATGTTTTGAGGCCAGCATGGGGAAAAGTTTGCAAGATCCCCATCTCAACAGAAAAATTGGGTGTAGTGTCATCTTAGCTATGGTGAGGAAGCACGTAAATAAGACTATCATGGCCAGGCCAGCCATGGCAAAAAGCAAGATCTTACCTCAAAAATAACCAGAGTGAAAAGGGCTGGAGGCATGACTCAAGTGGTAGACCTCCTGCCTCATAAGCCTCAAAGCCCTGATTTCAAACTCCAGTACTAGGAAGGAAGGAGGGAGGGAGGGAGAGAAAGAGGAATCCCAGGTCTGAGCCTGGTAGAAACTAGAAGAGTATGGTCTCCCTAAACCTGCGAGCGACTGAGTATGCATGACAAGGAAGAGGCTGTTGGAATTGACAAATTGGAGATTGTTGGACCTTGACAAAAGTTGTTTCATTGGAATGGTGGGGATACATGCCTGACTAGTAGTTATAAAAGAGAGAGGTGATTAAGTGGTAAAATTAGTGAGGATAACTCGATGGATGTGGCTATGAAAAGGTGTAGTGCAATGAGATGAGAAGTTGGCTGGGGCAGGGACATGGGACCTGGGGCAGGTTTCCTTTTAAGTTTTAAGTTTGGGGATGACTAGAACTTTGTTTCCAACTGCTTTAGAGCCCTGATGTGAACTGCCTTAAGGAATAAAGTTTATTTTCTTATGTAAGTCCTGAGGCAGTGCAGGGTCAAACTTAGTTGGTTCAAGGACTCAGTTATATTTTTGAGGAACCAAGTTCTTTCCAACTCCCTTTGCCATCCTTAATCATCCTCAGGTTGGTGGCTCATTGGCTCATTTCCTGTATGTTCTAAGGGTGAGGTAATTTCCAAAAGCCTCCTTCCAAACTTCTCCCTCCTCATTAGCCAGAGCTTAATCACATGCTTATATCCGAATCAGTTAGCAGCAGCAACTTGAAAGGAAAAGCCCTCATGTCCATGTTTGAGGAGACATAGCTAGAGAAGGAAGAGAAATGATGCAACTGTTGCTGAGTGGGAAAGCAGAACCCACTAGAGACAAGAGCCAGGACACCAGCCATGAGGTTCCCCTCAAGAGAGTTACGCAGTTTTCTGCACAATACGCAGGAACTTGAGCGAAGTCACAGGATTGCTCCAGGCAAGCACAACTGTGGAGAGAAGAACAAAGGTCGCGTGGGTATTTGCCAGTGAGTAACTGGTGCTGGATTGTGGGAGCTAAGGTGGTCAGTCAGAGAGAACAAAGGGGTGCACAGCAAGATGGGACAGCAAGAAAACAGATGAAGAATTGTCAGAGTAGAATTGTCTTACTCTGGGTTCCTTGGGAAGCATCTCTTTGCTGTGGAAGGTACAGCAAAGACCCACAAAGCAGTTGCCACAGGAGCCACAGCCAATCCCATAGGATACTGGCATACTTATCTGAGACGTCCTGAATTGAGGAGAGGGGAATTAATTTGGCTTTTGTCCCTAGCCATTTTCCTATGGAGATTGTTGTCTACCTAGTCAGTATGGACTGGGACAGAAGGGAGGACCCGGGCCTGGTCTGTGTAAGAGTGTTTTAAGAACAGGCCTCGGTAAGACACCCATGAGCCTGGAAGGTGGGGTAGAAACATGACAGATGTGGTCAGAGAAGCGGACTTCACTTGGGCCTTGGGCAGAGGAGGGAGCATAGGAGAGAAAGAGATCCCAAGAAGAGATGGGGGGGGGTAGATGCAGACTTCACCAATGCCACAGTACTTCCACAGGCTGTCCCTAAATGGTTAGTGGGACTCCTGCAGAGAGGAAGGAATGCCAGCCAGACTGGGGAGAAGATGAAGGGGGAGGCGTAAGACTCCTAAACATAGGGAGCACCTCCGGGGTGGCAACCGAGGTCACTGTTCTGATGTTCAGAGCTTAGACTTGGTCCCCTGCTTTCTCCGAAGGCAGTGGAGCTATGGATTTGTGGCCCGGAGACCCTAGGGTGCAGGGGAAAGGCTTGCAGAGATAGGAGTTGTTTCCCGGGAGGCAGGTTCTGGAGGGCTATGAAAGTGTTATGGGGGGGTGCGGCGCGTGCCCTCAGGCTAGGATAGGACTCACACCATCCCAGCTGCCTGGCCTGCTCTGCAAGCCAGCCCCTCAACCTCAAATCCTTTGGGGGTTATAGTTCCAACTCCCTGCATTGCATTCTTCTAGGCAGGTTTTCACTTTGGATAAAGTTAGACCAATTCTTTCCTTCTGATTGAGAGAATCTCTAGAGATAACTTAGCATTGCCCTTCAAACTAGTTATGTTTCGTTCCTTTCAGGTAGTCTGCCTTTCCAAGGTGGCTTATGGCTAGCAGAAGTGCTTTCCTTTTCTGCTCTGCTACCTGCCTGACACTTCTGATGCATGGTGGTTTTGGTAGGCTGGAGGGCAGTACAGATGACGACCTAGCTATCATCTGTTCAGTCCCCTCACTTTTAGAGAAAATGAGGCCCCAAGAGCCTATGACCTGCACCCCTCCTCAGGGTACTGGAAGAGAATGCTGTCAGCATGTCGCATCTTCATGTTTCCCCCCCCCCCCCAGGTGACAACCTGATGCTGGTGAAGAACCCGCCCCAGCCCCAGTCCCAGCCCCACCAGCAGAGCCTGCCCACCCTGGCAGTGCCTGAGAATCCCGATGGCCCTGTTAATCGCGGGCTGCTGGATGACAGTTTTCCCGCGCTGTCGGGGGAGCGCAGCTCGGTGGAGGCTCAGCCGGGCGGGGAGGGCAGTGCAGGCAGCAGAGGCGGTGGTGGTGGCTGCACAAGCAGTGGCACCGGTGTGAGCGGTGGCTGTGGCAGCTGCTGCCCTGGCGGCCTGCGGCGGAGCCTCCTCACGCATGGCGCGCGCAGCAAGCCCTACTCATGTCCGGAGTGCGGGAAGAGCTTCGGCGTGCGCAAGAGCCTCATCATCCACCATCGCAGCCACACTAAGGAGCGGCCCTATGAGTGCGCGGAGTGCGAGAAGAGCTTCAACTGCCACTCGGGCCTCATCCGCCATCAGATGACACATCGCGGTGAGCGGCCCTACAAGTGTTCTGAGTGTGAGAAGACCTACAGCCGGAAGGAGCACCTGCAGAACCACCAGCGGCTGCACACGGGCGAGAGGCCCTTCCAGTGCGCGCTCTGTGGTAAGAGCTTCATCCGCAAGCAGAACCTGCTCAAGCACCAGCGCATCCACACTGGCGAGCGGCCCTACACGTGTGGCGAGTGCGGCAAGAGCTTCCGTTACAAGGAGTCACTCAAGGACCACCTGCGGGTGCACAGCAGCGGCCCAGGCCTAAGCAGCCAGAGGCCGCTCCAGGCGCCACCGGAGAGAGACTAGGGCTGGGCTGGGGGGTGGGGAGGGCTGAACTGGAGCCAGGGCGGCTGGGGCTTCTGAGGTCCCACCATCCTGCCCTACTGTTCTCAGCGCACCTTCCCACCCTCTTCCCACCTCCTGCTGGAGACCAGGCACAGGAATTGCACTCAGACAGGGTACCCCGAGGTTGGACAGGGGTACCCCAGGCCTGTCTGACCTGAGTGGACAGCAAGCCCATCTCATAGAGTGGGCCGAGTGGATGGGGAAGGTGCCAGAGGGTCAGCAAGGAGGCGAGAGTCGTTGAATACGCCTCTCAGACCACCTAGTGTGCCCATTGGCCACTGGGGTCACAGATTGTGATCAGGGAAAGCGACCAGGGAGTCTCAAAACCCTCCTGAAATAAGGAAATCCGATCCTAAGGTTCGGAGACAACCTGAGAAAGGAAGTGAAGGTGCAATGGTGAGCTGAGCGGTGTGCTAAGGGGACATCCTCAAGACAACACTGCCTCGCGCTTCTGTAGCGCTTTATACTTTTTTAAGTGTTTTCTATCCGTTATCTATTTTCTCCCTTAGCCTGTCTCTCCGAGATAGGTGGGATAGGGTTTTCCTGATGTGGTAACTGAGGAAAGTGAGACACAGGTGAGATGGTTTACCCAAGATTACACGAGAAGAGCGTGGCGGAGCCACACCAGAGCTCTGGCCCCGCGCAGTGTCTCCACCGCAAACACTGCCTACCTCCGTCGTCTGAGAGACCACTCTCACCTGGCCTTCCTGGTCTCTCCTCTCCTTTTTCTCCCCTGAAGTCCCCGCTCCCTCCCAATCTAGAAGCAACAGGGGCCAATTCCTGGGGTTACTGGGAACGGGGAACGGATTGGCTGCAAAATGCCCAGGCTTGTACTCCAGAAGACTTTCTTCACGTGAGCGCCTGGGCCAGTAGCGCCGTGGATCCCCAGCCTGTCCTTCCCACCTCCAGTCCCTTAATCGGTGCAGCAGCAGCAGCAGCAGCAGCAGCTTCTCACTGCACAGTAGGGCCCCGCCCTCTGGAGGCAGCTGGTGCCCTGGGTCAGACCTCACCCTGATGATTTACTCCAGTTTCCCAGGGCCAAGGGTGAGAGAGACCTCTGCTGCCAGAGCAGCCACCAAGGAACGAGTCTGCCCAGGAGGACTGGGCAAGTGGGTGCTAGAGTCTGAGCCTCAGTCTCTCTCCTGCCCTGGGCCTCCCAATTGGTGCTATGTGTTAATTGACCGTGCTCATGGACGTGGACACAGACCCTACTATGCTTCGACTCCGCAGGCGCCTGGGGAAGCGCCCAAAGAACTCCCTTTCATGTTGGTGCATTGCTCTGGGCAGTGGCAGTCTCCATTTCAGCGTCTTGCATGGCCAGGCACTGGGGTGGGGTGGCATGCCCCAGGAACCTTGTTTGTGTCAAAATGGCTTTTCCTGCTCCCCCATGGATTCCGCTTCTCTCCCAGCCAGGGAGCTCAGTGGGCGGCCACTGCTTGGTGGTACTGCCTTTTGTGAGCGTTCAGCTTCTGCCCTTTGGTTCATCTGCGCTGCTCCGCTTTCCTCAGACCCCTTTTTGCCGTGCAAAGGGAATTCTTGAAATTAAATAAAAGGTGTCCAGATTGCAGACTGCATGTTCACAAGGCTGGAGGAGTCTCCAGCATGGCATCCTACAGTAAAGCCTCAATGAACTGGAATCCAATTAACTGGGATTTTTTTCCTCCCTTCATTCGGCTGTTTGAAGGAGGCAAATTTTAGACAAGTGGAGATGAGAAACACATACAGGGTTCAGTGGAGTGCTGGTACAACAGAAGGGGGCCCTCTAGTTCAGGGATTGGTTGGAAGGGAATGATAGGTTACTTCTCAAAAGCATAGGCAGAAAATATTTTCTTTAAATCATGGAAAGAAAGATCCAAATTGTTTTGGCTGTTGGAAGTGTGAGGAAGAGAGAAATTGCTAATGACATACGGGTTTAAAACATTTGATTGCATAGATTGAATCTAATCACTTTATTTTACCCTCAGACAGCTGGTTCCCAAAGAGGTTTAGTGACTGAGCTAGTGAAAGCCAACACTCTGGTTTCCTGGACCCTAGACTGGTGAATCCCAGCTACATTATGGTCCTCTGGCCTTCATCTTCCAAGTGCTGTGATTCCAGGTGTGTGTGACCATGCCCGGTCAGAAAATGGTGTTCTTTAAAGTATTGTTTTAATTAAAGAATTAATGCATGCAGTAAAAATACAAATAGTGAATGGGAAAAAAAAAAAAAGACAAGAAGAGCAAAGTAGTCTGTTTAGAGCTGCTATAGCCTTCCAGACCTGTGTTGAATTTCCCAGACAGGTGTTTACTTTCTGAATTCCAGGTAACCGTTCTGGACTTTCTGCTCCTAGTAGCCTGGAGAGTTCAACAGTAGCATCAGAGTTGCAGCATTTCTTTCTCTGCACTGCCCCATGACTACCCAGTACAAGCAGAACTCTGTAAAAGCCACTGTTGAGAAGAGCACAGAAAGGTGCAGAGGATGCTGAGAAAGGTGGTCAGCTCAGTGAACTTTAGGTTCGTCCTCATTCAACATTTAGTGAATACCCACTAGTCAATAAACAAGTTAAAACTCAGTCCTTGCCGTCTTCAAGCCTGAAATCTAATAGAAGAAAGAAGATATTTGTGAGAACAAAATGACTAGAAAGCTCAGGAGAGTCTCAGTAAGCTTTACCCCCAGAGCTGATAAAAAAAACTGGTGACCTTTGGTATATTGGCCTTTGTATTTTGTTCACCAAATTACCTTTGAAATGTTTAGCACATGTCAGCCAGCATGGACACTAATGGGGTATGTGTGGTAGGGGTTGGGAGACTGATCCACACAGAGAGGAAACTGGCAACCCAAAGACAGTAGTGTTTGCTTGACAACAGGTGCACGTGAGACGCAGGAGGTCACAATGCTGTATGCAACAGCAAACTTCACAGAGAGGTGAGGGCTTGAAACCAGATGGATGGAGCAAAAGGAAAGGAGGGGGCGGGATGAGGACAAAACATATGGCCAGGGTTTAGGGGTGTGAAATTGTGATATAGTTGGATGGTGAGGCACAGCCAGGCCATGGAAAGCCTTGAACACCCAGACTGTCCCATATGCAGGTTCCTAATGAACCTGGGCCATTGTGCCACAGCCCCATGGAACTCATCAGAACTGGAACATGCATAGCTCTCAAAAGAGCCAGTGAGAATGCAGTGGAAATCCTGAGAGGGTAGCATAAACCAAGCACTACTGAAAATGTCACCATAACTGACTCTTAAAAGATGTGGCCAGGCACTGGTGGCTCACGCCCATAATCCTAGCTACTCATGAGGCAGAGATCAGGAGGATCACAGTCAGTTTGGAGTCAGCCAGGGCAAATAGTTCACAATACCTGATCTCCAAAAAAACATCACAAAAAAGGGCTGGTGGAGTGGCTCAAGGTGTAGCCCTGAGTTCAAACCCCAGTACTGGAAAAAAAAAAAAAAAAGATTTCGTTCCTGGGTATTGGCAGGAATTGTGTGTGGAGGAGTAGGAAATTTCACACCAGGTCCCTTAACCAGCCTATAACATACAGTATTGGCCCATCCAATTGTTACTGTTATAAAATCTTGCAGTAGAGCATGCCCTCAGCACAGGGCTGGTGTCTTTTCTTGGCTTGTCATTTACTCCAATGGGGGAGCTTAGTGAGTTTTCTTTGATTTCCTCCACAAGAACTTTGTGTAGTAGATTTACTCTTTAGAAATCATAGAAAGGGTCTCATTTTAGCCTAGCACAGCAAATGACCAAATTAGACCTAAACTATTAGCTATCTCTGTTCTTAAATGACCTTGAACCTTTCTCACCATCAGGAATTTCTCAGAATTTGCTATCTCCCTACTTCTCCATCTTGGATTTCACCTGCCTCTCTCTGAGGACCATTTACCCCTTCTCTCCTGGATATTCAGGAGGAAATCCTTGAATCCTAATCTTTTATGGGGAGCAATTTTGTTTTATCTTTGCTCACCTGCCTTCCAAGCCTTGCCTCAGGCCTCTTTTTCCACACTGGCCAATAAAAATCTGGCTAAATAAAATTCTATCATCTTCCTAAGAGGAATTCTGTACCAGTTTTTAATCAATTAATGATTTTTTTTGTGATGCTTGTATTTGAACTCAGGGCGACACCTTGAGACACTCCACCAGCCTTTTTTTTGTGTTGGTTTTTTTTTTTTTTTTTTTCAAGGTATGGTCTTGTGAACTGTTAGCCTGGGATGGCTTCGAAATGCAATCCTCCTGATCTCTGCCTCCTGAGTAGCTAGGATTACAGGAGTGAGCCACTAGCACCCACGCTTCACTCAATGCAATTTTGAGTTTACATTAATACATTCAAAATTCAGAATGTTAATAAAAGGATATACAGTGAAAAAAAAAAAAATCTAGCAGGGCTGGGCGCCAGCCACTCACATCTGTAATCCTAGCTACTTGGGAGGCTGAGATCTGGAGGGTGGTAGTACAAGGCCAGCCTGGGGCAAATAGTTCAGGGGACCCTCATCTCCAAAATAACCAGAGCAAAATGGGATGGAGGTGTAGCTCAAGCACATGAAGGCTGAGTTCAAAACCCCATCCCCACAAAAAAATGTAACATCGTGATGGCCACACCTGCAGGAGGCTGAGCTAGAAGGAGGCTCACTGAAGCCCAGGAGTTTGAATCCAGTATCAGCAGCATAGTGAAATCTTGTCTGAACAAACGAACAACAACAAGAACAAAACCAAGTTTCTCTGTGTGGAAGCATCTGAGTCATCAGTTCTTACAAATACATATATTTTTTAATACTCCCTCTACTACCAGTTTTGCAGAAATAGTACAATACTATATACTTTGTTCTTTACTTTTCTCTCTTTTAAAAAATGTCTTTTTAAAAATGTCTGAGTTATTCTGACCAATTCATAGAAAACTTCCTCATTCTTTTTTGTAGTTGCATATTTTTTTTCTTTCTTTTTATTTCTTTCCAGTACTGGGGATTAAACTCAGGGCCTTGCACTTTTTATTGGCAAGTACTCTGGTTAGTTTGTTTTTCAGATTGGGTCTTGTGCTAAGTTTGCCTGTGCTGGCCCTGAACCATGATCCCTTGAACCTGTCTCTGCCTCCTGAGTAGCTGGAATTACTGATGTGTACCACCATGCCCGGTCATATAGTTGCATATTTTCATTGACTGGATGGACCTGGTTTATTTCACCAGGTCCCTATTGGTTGCTTGGTCTTTAAGGTTGCATTTTTTTTTTCTCCACAGTGCACCTGTGACAACAACACAGACATATTATCTTTCAGTGGATACTCACTGGTCTATCACTGCTCAAATTTGCTCCCCTGAGCTCAGCCAGGTCTGTCTCTTGACCATGTTGATATCATACCCTGTTTATTCCCACCTTGCTCTCATGGAAGCCTTGTCCAAGTCCTGGTCTCTCAAACCCCATCTCTGTTCTACTTCTTCCCTGAAGACTGTCCCATTACTCTGGGCTATGTCTTCTCCTGATGCCAGAGCTTTTAGAAATATCTCCAAGTCCAAGGAACCATGTGGTTGAGAAAGACATAAAGACAGGATAGAAAGCACTCTATACTTTCTGCCTGGCTTGGTAAACAGAGCTATAAAACATTTTTTTGGGGGGGAAGGGGAGACAGGGTGTAACTATATGGAGACAGGTTGGTCTCAAACCTGAGATCCTTTTGCTTCAGCCTCCTGCCTCAACTCACTGCTGGGATAGTGGTACTGGGGTTTGAACTGAGGGCCTTGTGATTGGCACTTTACCACTTGAGCCATTCTCCCAGCTCAACTCCCTATAACAATTGTATTAGTCAAAGTGCTTCTTATTGCCGTCAACAGAAGTTGGATGATCAACCAAAAAGGGGACTTTCTGGAAGGATCCTGGAATCATTCACAAACTCAAAGGAACAGTTGAACAACCAATCCTGGACACAGACAAAAATGTCTCTCATAACTGCTCCTTTCTGTGTATTGGGTCATTCTTCCAAACCAATTCACTCCGAAAAGGAGGGACAAGACTATTCCTGATCCATTTAGTTACCGCTTCCCTAGATGAGGCTTTTTAGTTAGAAGAATTCCAGAGAAGAGCTTGGATTGGTCCAGCTCAGGTTATATGCCCACCCTGCCTCAATTACTGTAGCTAGCATACCAGAGCTATGGCTGGGCTGAGCTAAGTCAGGTGCTTGCCCTTCAAACAGCCAATGTGGCTAGGCTGGAGTTGCCACCTAAGAAGATAGCAGCACACATTTGAATTATATGGCTGGAGACTTGGGAGGAGTGTTTCCCAAAGCCCAGAGGAAGAGAGGTGTACCAGGCTGATGGTGTTAATGGGTGTACACTGTAGACACATGTACATCAGGGGAGGCACCTTGAACCCAGGTGTGTTCAATCTAGGTTCTCACTGACCTGGAAGCCTAGTGTGTCAGTGTGTGTGTGTGTGTGTGTGTAGGGTGATAAAATGTGAGAAAAGGAACACAAAGGCGTGGTCCTTGCCATCTAGAGATTTGAAGGTTAACAAGGGGACAGAAAGGGTCTCCATGGAGTGCATATAACGCCATGGTCTATAAACGTTCTTGAGTAAAAACTGGGCATATTATATGTATATATATATGCTAAACGTTTATGCTATAAACCATTCATGCAATAGAAATTTTAAAGGATAAGAGACATATTTTGAAAACATTAACTTAAAGCATATTATTTGTTTGTAATGCAAAGATTTCTTTACATGAGTGAGATGACATCTAAGATCACTTTCAGCTCTATGTGAAGCACTCATTCTATACATGTAGTGATGGTCAGATACAAATATTAAGAATGCCTATCTTCTTGATCCCTCTAATGCCACTGCCACCAGTGAGAATTGTAAACCACACGTATAAGTTTTTTTTAAGAGGCCTGTGTCAACATTTGAATGTCAGTGGGAAAGAATAAATGTGTGACTTCTAAGAGACACAACAAAGTGATTTATCTTGGTGAATTCATTGCAGTAAAATGCAAAAGCAAAGCAGAAACAAGGAATTTCCTGTTACTGAGTGTTGCTGTGTACCGGCACTTTACATAACATTTCTTCTAGTTCTACCAACAACCCTAGCATGAGAAGTTCATGTTCTCAATGGGAAGATAAGGACACCAAGACAGAGTGAACATAAGCCACACCGATTAGTGAAGGAACCAGGCCTCAAGAATAATAACAATCACAAGCACCCCTTGAGCTCTTACTCCGTACACTCTCTGTTCTAAATACTTGACTTGAATTCGCTCATTGAATCCACACAGATCTGTGGGCTAATCACTATTATTATTCTCCGAAAGTAAGGACGAGATGGCAGTACCAAGAAATTAAAGTTTACTTGGGTGCCGGTGGTTCACGCCTGTAATCCTAGCTACTCAGGAGGCAGAGATCAGGAGGATCATGGTTCAAAGCCAGCCCAGGCAAATAGTCCGCAAGACCCTATCTCAAAAAACCCTTCACAAAAATAGGGCTGGTGGAGTGGCTCAAAGTGAAGGCCCTGAGTTCAACCCCCAGTACTGGAAAACAAACAAACAAACAAACAAACAGTTAAAGCCCTGCCCAAGGTCCATGGTAGGTGGCAGTGCTGGGCTACTACTTCCTAAATCACTGCCCTATACCATCTCTGCAGGCCTCCAGTGCCTGGTGCTGCCTTCCTGCTAGGTTGGAAATTTGATCTAAAGCCTTTTGCTGAGTCCCAGGTTCAATGTCAGGGATGCTGAATCATGTTGACTCTTGAGAGCATGATATACAAGCCAGAGTATCAATTTAACAATTTCCAGGGTATACTGGAACAATTTTCAGGGGCGTACTTCTCTCAGAAGCCACAAAGGAGCCTGCCTAGAAATGGAGTAAAGGGATGAGTTTTATAACCAAACTGTTTAATGACTTTTGTGTGCTATGTCTTGCTATGTCTGTTTCCACAATCATGATACATTTCTTTCTGTATCTGACAGCAAGTGTTTATTGGCCTGAGAGAGTGAGACCCTGTTAGTATCTGTATGGGTGACTAGTCTCTTATGGCCAACCCATTCTTTCTTTAGATTTGTTAATGATTCAATCAAGCTCCTGCCAATTTGGTTGCCCTGAAAATCATGTCTTTTCATATCCTTACTCTCTGATTCACCACTCATTAAAAAATATTTGGGTACACTTCTGAGTACAATAAATAGAGGGTACAGTGGGAAGATAGTGGAAGAGACACAAACACCTGTAGAGTCTGACTTGAGCTCTGTAGGTGAAGAAGGAGTCAGGTGAAGAACGAACATCCATTTCACTCTCATTGTCTTTAGAGAGACAATGTGATATAAATAACGCAAGTATGGTTGTAGTACTGTTATTGATATTGGGTTTTAAATACATACATGGCAATGGAATGGCAATGTGACCAGGCACCAGTGGTTCATGCCTATAATCCTAGCTAGTTGGGAGGCTGAGGTCTGGAGGATAGAGGTTTCAAACCAGTACAGGAAAATAGTTCCCAAGACCCCATCTCCAAAATAACTAGTGCAAAATGGATTGGAGGTGTGTCTCAAGTGGTAATCCCTGCGTTCAAACCCCAATCCCCACCCCACCCCATACCCTGCCCTGCAACACACAAAATATGGTAATGTGGACATGTTTTCCAAACCAGAATCCAAAACACATGTCTAACACTCAGCATTTGCATTTACTATTTGCAATCAAGGCTCTCTTGAATTTTCTAAGTCATGTGATTACCATAATTAATAGGCTTCAGCAGGTTGACCTGGACCCCTGATCAAACATTACTGATACTGAAACTTGTGTTTCTAGTTCGAAAAAGCCAAATAACAGGTAAGCTTTTGGAATAAAACCATTTGGGAACATATCTCCTTTCTCCAACACGGTTAACATGTTCTTCCCTCAGAGCAAAGTAATAGTTTTATACTTTTTAAAAAAGTTTTATTTATTTTTTCTGGGACTGGGGTTTAAATTTAGGGCTTCACACTTTCAAAGCAGGCACTCTACCACTTGAATTGAGGTCTCAGTGAACTATTTGCTTCAAAACGCGATCCTCCCGATCTCAGCCTCCCAAGTAAGTAGGATTACAGGGGTGAGTCACTGGTGCCCGGATTACATTTTTAAATCCCTCAAAGCATTTAGCAGAGTGCTGGGTACACAGAAGACACAGTAAGGGCCCAGAAAGTGCACTTGACTTTGGGGATTGCCAGCGCTTAATGCTCCAAGCTGCTGTTCACCCTCCCGCCGCAGGGTGGAGCAATGGAAATTGTGTGCGGAGAGAATAGCCGCTGAGTTCCATCCTGGGCCGGGGAGCGCCCTGCTCCCAGAATGCACTTTGTATCAACACGGCGGCGGCGGCGGCCTCCCTGAGGGACCGGGTGTCTAACGCAGTGGCACGCAGCCCAAAGGCTATCAGGAGGGCCAGGGAGTTGAGGGGCGACAGGAGCTATGGCAGAGTCGGCGCCTGCTCGGGTAAGAGGCCGGCCCACACGGTCTTGGAGGCGTTCGGGACGGCCGAACCCCTGACGGGGCGGGGCTTCGCGCTGGGACTCGGTCGGGGGCTTGGTTTTCTGGACTCCAGCTGGCCCGGGCTTCCTCCTACCTTCCTCCCCGCGACCCCGGCGCTCTGCACGCTTCCTTGCGGGTTCCTTCTGCGTCAGACTCAGCGCCTCGGCGCGCTGCGCTTTCGCCCACAAACTTCCGTAGAGCTTGTTGCACGGTTTGTGACCGTGACCGCACATTTTCTCTTTCGTGCCAAAAGAGACCGGCTTCTGAGTTGGAGCGATGGCGCGGGTTGAAAGCCCTGGTCCCGCGTTGGTACCGGTGAACTCTCCCAGTGCGGCGGAGCGCCGGGGACTCCTTGCCTGGCTGCGACAGGCGCGTTCTGGCCCGACGTGTGGCGGGTTCTTGTTGCCACGCTCCTGTTGCTGCTTTCCTTACCGATCGCAGCCGCGGCTCTGAGCCCGAGCCCGAACCCGAGCCCGAGCCCGAGCCGGAGCCGGCGGGGCTTCCTCTCCCCGGGGACGCGTGGAGTAGCTGTGTTTTGCCTAGGAAGCTAGTGATGCGCGCTCTCCTCCCCCCGCCACCCTAGCCGTCCCCGTGTGAGGAATGTCCTGGGTATGGAGTTCAGAATCGAGTTCAGTCTTAACTCAGGGCTCAGCTATCCAGTTGGGTGATTTTAGGGAGCTCATTCTTTACCTCTGTTATCCTAATTAGGAATTGAGAGGGTTGGGTTAGTTACGAGATGATTTCTAACGTTCTCATATTATTCTAAAATAGTAGTAACTTAAAAATAAAGGAGGTTTTGCTATAGATAGGTGGAACTGAATTTTAATTTTTTTTGGTGGGACTGGGGTTTTGAACTCAGGGTTTTGTCTTTTTAGATCAGGCACTTTATCGCTTGAGCCACCCTTCCAGTCCATTTTGCTCTCGCTATTTTGGAGATAATAGGGTCTCTCGAACCGTTTGCTCCGGGTGGCCTCGAACCCTGATCCTTCGGATCTCAGCCTCCCAAGTATCGAGGATCGCAGGCATGAGTCATCCGCGCCAGATTTGAATTATTTTATTTTATTTTTGGCGGTATCAGAGTTTGAATTAAGGGCTTCACCACTTGAGCCAGCCTGCCAGCCCTTGAGTTGTTTTTTTATGCAGTTCTGTTTTGGTCCAGAAACATTTTAGGAATCATGTGAGATCTTTTGTGAGAGAGCAGGACTAAGAAAAACCTGTGGTGAGCCCCGCGTGCTGACTCACGTCTGCAGTCCCAGCTGCTCCAGAGGTGAAGATCGGGAGGGTCCCTGAAGGCCAGCCTTCGCAAAAAGTTTGCCAGGACGACCCCCTCACCCTCAACCAATAAAAGTGGCGCATACCTGTGATCCCAAATTGGCAAGATGCCAGGTACACCACGCATAAACACCAGACTATCTTTTTTGAAAGGTAACCAGAGCAAAAAGGCCTGCCATTGTGGCTCATGTGGTAGAGAGCCTGCTTGACAAGCCGGAGGCCCTGAGTTCAAGCCCCAATCTTTTGTTTTTTGGGTTTTTCCTTTTCTTTTTAAAGAGCAGAGTTGTGAAGTCAACTTTAAGGGCATTTTTGTTGGGTGGTACTGAGGTTTGAACTAAGGGCTTTGGCTTGATAAGCAGGTGCTCCACCATTTGAGCCATGCCCCAAGTCCTGGGGACATTTGTAGAACGTTCATTTTTGGTGTTTTTGACATCAGGAGACCTAGAAAATAGAAGAAAAACTCATGGAACTCAGGGCATAGCTCAAAGGGTAGAGCACTTGTGAGGCTCAGGCTTCAACTCCAGCACCCCAAAAGAAGCTTAAAAAAAAAAAAACACACCAAAAAACCCAAAACCAGACATCACTAAAAGGCTAAGCCAGGCTCTGGTGGCTCACACCTGTAATCCTAGCTACTGAGGAGGCAGATCGGGAGGATCATGGTTGAAGCTGTCCCCAAGCAAATAGTTCTGCAGACCCTATCTCCAAAATACCCAACACAAAACAGCTGGCAGAGTGGTTCAAGCAATAAGAGCACCTGCCTAGCAAGTGTAAGGCCCTGAGTTCAAACCTTAGTGCTGCCAAAAAAGTAAAGAACAAAACTCAGAGGTTAAGAAGGAGGGTCTAAGAAGCCCGCATCCCAAACCCACAAAGCAGAGTCTTCAAAGGGCAGCATTCTGTCTAAAGGTGAACTGGAAGTGAGGTCTTAGCACTAGATTATTGGAAAAAAAATTGTAGCTGGCGCCAGTGGCTCATGCCTGTAATCCTAGTTACTCAGGAGGCAGAGATCAGGAGGATTGTGGTTTGAAGCCAGTCTGGGCAAATAGTATGTGAGACCCTATCTCGAAGAACCCTTCACAAAAATAGGACTGGTGGAGTGGCTCAAGGTGAAGGCCCTGAGTTCAAGCTCCAGTACCACAAAAAAAAAAAACAAAACTTGCTATTGAGAGATGGGTATGAAATTCTCCTTGAGAATTCATAGTGACCTTCAGATAGGATTGTACCTGAATTCATACTACTTGAATGGCCCAAGAAACTTCAAGCCAAGAGTTTAAAGTGAAGCTACGAGCTACCAACTGTCTATCAAAAGCAAACACAAATCTTTTCTGGAGGAATCTACATTTTAACTCAGACTTTAATTCTAGGTAAAAGTTCTAAGAAATAATGAGCTTATTACATAAATTACCAAACAAGAGAAGCCATGAGAAGAAGCCCATAAAAATAATGGCCAACAAAATTAGACCCTCAAAGACTTCAGACACAGGATTTATATTTAAAAATAAAGGGAAAGATGGGAAATATGAGTAAGGGGTAACAGACTATAAAAATCACCAAACAGATTTGAATAATAATCAAATTGATGAGTTTAAACCTCAGTATCACAAAGAATCAAATAGAACTTCTAAAAGAATGAAAAATGTTAAAATTGAAGAAAAGTCAGTAGAAAGCTTTACTATTACATTAGACATGCTGAAGAGATGATCAAGTGAATGTGGAAGTAAAGAAATTATCCAGAAAGCAGCACAGAATAAGAAAGGAAATATGAGAAGTGATATGGGAGATGGAAAGAAAAATTTAACATTGACCAGATTTAAATTTCTGAAGAAATCTCTCTCTCTCACTCTCTCTTTCCCTCTCCCTACCTCCCTCCCCTTTTTTGGAGCCTATATTTGATGAATAGCTAATGGCTGATAGAATTATAGGACTGATAAAAATATCAATACATACAGTCAGGATAAACAAAAAGAAATTTCTGCCTAGACATAAAATAGTCAAAGTGCAAGATGGAGAGAATTCTTAAAAGCAACCAGAGGAAAAATACATATTAAGTTTTTTATTTGTTTATTTTTTTGGTGGTACTGGAGTTTGAACTTAGGGACTGGTAGTTGCTCTACCACTTGAGCCAAGTTCCCATCCCTTTTGGTTTTAAGTTATTTTTCAGACAATGTCCCCTGGGGTGTCCTCCTGGTGTAGCTGGGATGATAGGTGTGTGCCACCACTCCTGGCTTGTTTTGTTGAGATGGGGTCTAACATTTTGCCAGGGCTGGCCTGGAACTTTGATCCTTTTGATCGCCACTTCTGGAATAGCTAGTATTACAGATGTGAGACACTGTGCCCAACCTCCAGATTACCTTACTACATTGGTATGACTAATGTAGACTGGCTTCTCAACACCAACAGTAGAATCCTGACAACAATAAAACAGTGCTGTCAATAGACTGAAAGAAAATCATTATAATCGAAAATGTGTTCAGTTTTATGTTGAACAAAAGCATCTTCCTAAATAAAGCAGTGATAATTTCTCATGACATTAAAAACAACAAAAAATTAAACTCTACTACAGCATTAATGTAGAAGTTAGGAAGAGATGATCAGAATTCAGGTATTTAATGGTCTTTGTAATATACTGCCATAATTCCTTAGGATATTTTCTGAAAAGACTGGAAATTATGTAACTTACAAACTGGAAGATAAGAAAAAATTATCTAGCAGAAGACAAGAAAAAAGATGGGATAAATAGCACAAAAAGATAAAAATAAATTGACTATAATAAATATAAGTGAACTAAGTATGGTAGTTAGAAGGTAAACATTGTCAGATGGGAAGAAAATCCAACTATTTGCTTTATAGGAGATACAACTAAAAAATAGGTGTTGCTAGGTATTGGTGGCTCAGTGCCTATAATCCTAGCTACTAAGGAGGCAGAGATCAGGAGGATCTCAGTTCGAAGCCAGCCTGGGCAAATAACAAGCCCCTATCTGGTAAAAACCTTTCACAGAAAATTGGGCTGGTTGAGTGGCTCAAGGTGAAGGCCCTGAATTTAAGCCCCAGTACCACAAAACATACAAACGAACCACTGATATTTATGTAAACTTAGTTTATGATAGAGAATAGCATTGCAAATTAGTGGATAAATGATAGATTTTTTTTATTAGTATTAGATGTATCGGTTTCCCATATGGAAATTGAGCCTTGACTTGAACACAAATATGAATTTTAGTTGAGATAAATACTTAGAAGGCAAATACTTGAAAAGCAAACCTATAAATTGTAAAAGTAGGGCTGCTGGAGTGGTTCAAATGACAAAACACCTGCCTAGCAAGTACGAGGTCCTGAGTTCAATCCCAGTACCATCAAAAAATAAATAACAAAGATAGTATTTTGGAATATGTTTTTTTTTAAATACTTGACACAGGAGTTGACACCATAAAAGAACACTGATGATAAACACAACTACATTAAAATTAAGGACTTTTTTCCCCTTTAAGTATTGAGGATCAAACCCAAGTCCTTGTGCATGTTAGGCAAGTACTCTACCATTTTAGCCACACCCCCAGCCCAAAGTTAAGATCTGAGGTTTGAACTCAGGGTTTCACACATGCTAGGCAGATGCTCTACTGCTTGAACCACTCTTCAGTCCAAGTTAAGGCTTTTTAATCAAAAGAAATAAGGAGTAAAACCCCTCAAAAGATACA